AGATGCTATAGTTGTGGTTTGTGGGAACTGCTTAATCTTTTCTTGAATCAGAGAATTAAATAGGACTGCATCTAGTCCATAGCACACCTACGTTATAGTATTTGCCATGTACTAAATCAAATGCATTACCTTTATTATTCTACACAGTGACATTGCATCTGGTTATATCTGTCAATGGATAAAAGTAAATTTGACAAGCAATTAAAATTTAAAGCCAAATTTCCATTGGCTTTTAAAAACTTTTTAATAGAGAAATTATTTAAGATATAATTTATTATTAGATATGTAAAAGCTGAAACAAAAAATAAAATAGTAATATGTTTTCACAGTCTCAAAGTGAATGAATTAAAAAATGTTTGATAGGTCAGTTACTTGGAATTAATTTTTCTTCTCCATAGAAACACGTGTTTTAAACATAGGCGTGATATTTCTACCTGAGTCAGTAGATTAGGTAGAGTGTTCTCTTTTTCTGTCTGTCTTGGAGCCAACTCTGAGCTACAGGAGCTGCAAAGATCTTTTGGAACTTTGAGATTCCCACTCCGTATCTTTGCTGGATAGTCCACTTCAAATGGCAGCTGATTTAATCCTTCATAGAATTCCATGCCTTACCACCAAAATTCTGAAGTAGTGACTTCAGAGTAGTTTTCATGGTGATGGTTTTGGCATGCCCCAGTGGCTGAGATGCCAAAGGAATTTATGAAACTATTTGTTTCTTTATTAACTAGGATGAAATATGGCAGTGATTCTTTAGACCATCATTGTCTAGTAGAAATATTCTGTATTTGCACTGTCCAGTACAGTAGTCACCAGCCATGCGTATGGCTTTGATCATTTGAAATGTGGCTAGTGAAACTGCATTTAAAATTTTATTTAATTTTAATAAATTTAAATTTAAATAGTCACATATATCTAGTGACTACTGTATTACATAGTACAGCTTTAGGCCGAAATTATGGTTCTAATTGCGTTTGAGGATTTCTAACTTTTTAGGGTATTTTTGAGTGTATCAGTTTTGGTCTCTAAGTAGCGGCTGTGGTCCTAAAGATGTTAAAGTTGGTTATCTCTATAGTCATAGACGGCAATATCTTGTTCATATGGATAGGTCTTTATTAGTTGAATATTTGTAAATTGAGTATTAATTTTAGAGTTTTGCTAAATGGTATTTATATGATAATTTAACAAAAAGATTATGATTAATCTCTTAGGCTGTGTAATTGCAGCTCTTAAAAAATATTCTATATTCTTGGTATTAGTAGGTCCTTTTAAAATTCTTATTTTAAATAAAGCAATTCAGATGTGTTTTTAAATGATGATTGTAACAGCATTTGTTTTTCAAGCCCAAAGAATTATAGACATACTAGACTGTAAATTTCTGAAGCCCAAGTCTATGACATTAATCTGCTTTTTTCTAGAACTTAGAACATTACCTTGCATACAGATGGCAATGAGTAGTTATTTTTGAATGAATCTATGATAAAATATATCCAATTAGTTTTCTTTTTCAACTTATTGATTAAAAACCAGAGAAATATGAACTAAAATTTATTTAAAATTGTGTTCTTATGGAAATAATTTCATTTATATCTTAAACAAGAATAGGAAATAGTAAAAGATTAGTATTAGCATTTGAAAATTCAGACTTACTTAAACAATACGTGATGGAGGTGATTCCTCATTTTTACAAAAGAATGTTATTTAAAATTTTATAATTTAATAATTCAGACCTTATTTAAGTAGTAATTGCTTAATAGGATCACCATTTTACTTACTAAGTTTTGGTTCATTCAGGACTGAACCAGTTATGTAAATGAGTTATATGTATATGTCAAACATAATCAAACTTAAAAAATGAGCTTTTTATAGGAAAAAAAGATGAAATATGTGTACATTAAATTTAATAAAAGCATTCTTATATTAGGTATTTATATTTTATAGGAAAGAAAACTAAGATATAACTTGTTGCATTATCTGAAGTCACTTGGTGAGTTTGGAGATCAAAATTAGATCCAAGAATTTCTGAATCCTAAGTTTCATGTTCCAATATTTGGCATTACATAAAATGACTCATAAAATTGGCTGATATCATGTCATTACTTAGATGACAATTTACAGAAAGTCAGCTCTGCATCTTGATGGGCAATAACCTTTTCAACCAAAAAGTAATTGTTGCTGCCATGACTGATACTATTATATGTGGCTTATATATTGATAACTTTGCTTCTGGAAAAAGGATAAGAGGTAGGCACATTTCCTTAAAAACTCTTAGATTGTTAAAGTAACAAACACTCACATAAAAACAAATAATGGAAATTAAAAAGTGAGCAAAGTAGAAATGAAGTGTTTTCTCCCTATACTCAGTGATCACTATTATCAGTTTGGTATACATAATCATATGCATAGACAAAAAATAATTCTTTTTTTTAAAGATTTTATTTATTTATTTATTTTTAGAGAGGGAAGGGAGGGAGATAGAGAGAGAGAGAAACATCAGTGTGTGGTTGCTGGGGGTCATGGCCTGCAACCCAGGCATGTACCCTGACTGGGAATCGAACCTGTGACACTTTGGTTCGCAGCCCATGCTCAATCCACAAAAAAATAATTCTTAAAAAAATCATAAAGCTATTATATGTCTTTAATTTTTTTTTCCAAAAATATATCTCAATGTACAGTACTCACCCCATATTTGAAGTTTCATTTTCTGTTGTTTCAGTTACCTGTAGTTAAACACAGCCAACATATTAAATAGGAAATTCCAGAAATAAACAATTCTTAAATCTTAAATTAAGCGCCTTTTTAAATAGCATGATAGAATCATACCTTTCAGCTCCATCTCACCCTTGGAGAATCATCCCTTTGTCCATTGTATCTGTGTTGTATAGCGCTACCTGTCTTGTTAGTTGCTTAAGTAGCTGTCTCAGTTATCAGATCAGCTGTTGAGGTATTAGTGCTTATGTTCAAGTAGCCCTTACAGTACCCTAATGCTGTAACAATGCCCACGTCATTCACTTCACTCATCTCATCACATAGGCATTTTTTTATCTCATTTCACAATGAGATAAATATATTACATGATATTTTGAGAGAGAACGTCCATATTCACATAACTATTACAGTATATTGTTATCATTGTTCTATTTTGCCAGTTTTTATGGTTAATCACTTACTGTGCCTAATCTATAAATTAAATTTTATCATATATATAGGAAAAAACATAGTATATGTAGGGTTTTGTGCTGTCCTTGGTTTTAGGCATACACTGGGAATTATACAAAGGTAAGGGCATTATATTGACAGCAGCATTGCCCTGTTAAAAAGAATGAAAGAATTAATCCATTGTCTTCTGTATTAATTTGCTAGGGCTGCCATAACAAAGCACCATAGACTGGACAGTTTAAACAATAGAAATTTATTTTTTCACAATTCTGGAGGCTAGAAGATGAAGGTGCTGCTAAGGTTGGTTCTTTTGAGGGCCATGAGGAAAGGATCTGTTTCAGGCCTCTCTCCTTGGCTTATAGATGGCCATCTGCTTCCTCTGTTTTCAGTTGGTCTTACCTTTGTATATGTATCTGTGTCTTGATCTGTTCTTTTTTTTTAATCCTTACCCTAGGATATGTTTGTTTATTTTAGAGAGAGAGGAAAGGGGGTTGGCGGGGAGAGAAAGAAAGAAACATTGATGTGAGAGCAACATTGACTGGTTGCTTTCTGTATGTACCCTGACTAGGGATTGAACCCACAACTTTTTGGTGCACAGGACAGTGTTCCAACCAAACTAAAATACCTAGTTAGGGCCTGATCTCTTTTTTGAAGGACACCTGTCATACTGGATTAGCTGTCACCCTAGTAACCTAATTTTAACTTAATTGCCTCTTTGAAGACTGACTCCAAATATAGTCACATTGTGAGGTACTGGTGTTGAGGACTTTGATACATAAATTTTGGAGAAATACAATTTCAGCTCATAACATATATTAACTGGAAATAAATGATACTTTTATTATCAGTATACTAGTATTTCCCCTATTTTTTTAAAATTAGGCATTGCCTAACTTTGCCTCATTTCCTAGTCCATAGATTACTATATACTGTGTACCTACTGCCTATCTAAAGTGTAGAGGGAAATATACTCTCAAGGAGCTCAGTTTGGACTTCGACATATAATATTTTTAATAATTTGATTTGAAAAACTTTATATAGCTAGTAGTGTAGTATAATTTAGAAAAGCAAGATTATGTTAGTGACATTTGGGAAAATGAGAATGCCTTGCTTTTTGGCAGGTGGCCTACTAAACATTTAAATAATGTTAGGTCAGGAAATGATTTGTGACATAGCTTTATAGAAGGGAAATTACCCTGAATGGAATAAGCCTCATTTTGTTCCCTTTTTTTTGTATAGGGGATCTCTGGGCTACATTGGAAGAAGAGTTGTCTTGGGCCATACATTAAATACATTGTGACACATAATCACAAAAAGATCTCATAATGTTTTAAGTAAATTTTGTGTTGGGCCAAATTCACAGCCATTCTGGGCTGCGTGTGGCACACCAGCTACAGATTGGACACCCCTGGTAGCACCGCATTCCTGCTTTGCTCTGTGCCTGGCATTCCTGAATTTAGTTCAGTTTTTCTAGTATATCTACATCTATTGCCTCTTATTCTTAGTTTATTTCCTTTTTATTAATACTTTTTTTTCAGATAATTGTTCAGTGAAATCACTTTTGTAGATATAATCATATTCCAGGAATATAACTGAAATTCACTTTGCAAATTTCCTGTCCACTGTAACTACTGTCAACCGTTACCTGTCTATCTCTATCTTTATATACCTATTTATCTACATGTTGATAGTTATCTGTCATCTAAGAGAGTAAGTTTTGAGTTTCTTGTTGTTGTTACCATGTACTAACTACAACTATAAATTCAGAAATTGCTATTAGGATTATTAAAGTAGATCTTAAATATCATACTATATATTAATTTTTTTTTTTTTTTTTGGAAAATAAGGTTTGCTTTCCTTTTGAGAATTAGAAAATTGAAAATGGCAGAACTCTTTATGGAATGTGAAGAAGAAGAGTTGGAACCGTGGCAGAAGAAAGTAAAAGAGGTTGAGGATGATGATGATGATGAGCCAATCTTTGTTGGAGAGATATCAAGTTCAAAACCAGCAATTTCAAGTAAGCATTTACTTTTTAGTGAAGCCAAGTTTTATAAGGTATTGTTTCTAAAGGAAAAAATTATGAACTGAGTTATAGGTACATATGATCTTATTCTTTTATAAAGAGTTGGGAATGAACAGCTGGTTGGGAGGTAAAGAAGATTTTTAGAAATAGGATAGGGATGTGATTGGGCACTTGAGGAAGGCAGTAAGAGGTTAAAATATCAGATCTAAGAAAAAGAAACAGACTAACATTAGCTGATGACATTGGAGGTCTTTCGTTACTAGAAATCATAATTTCTAGTGGAGCCAAGTATCCTATTTTTTTATTTATCTATTTATTTATCTCCCCCGCCCTCCCCACTCAAACTCAGAAGTGGGAAAAATGGGTTTAGAATACTTTGTTTAAAATGTCAGAATGTACTAAATGAGTTTGTGTGTCTCAGATAGGGATTCTCAAATCCAGGCAACTGCCTCATTACATTGTCATCCATTTATAGATAAAAAATGTGTAGGCAACGTAAGATTGATTTCATAGTTTCTGGCCTGTATACCAATAGGTACTTCTGACCATACCCATTATCCAGCAGCTTGCATTTGTTGGGTTTGGTTTTTTCCCCCTAAGATGGCTTCTAGTAGCACTTAGTTGTCTTTAATTTCATTTGAAACAATTTTGTTAGATTGTATTGTGACAGCTGTCATATCAATGTGCATTGGGAAAAAACCTTACCAAAATTGGTGAATTTTCATGCAGCCATTTTAATATTGAAAATGGAAAAAATATGCAACATTTTGGTATGTTATGCTTCCTTATTTCAAGAAAGGTTGCGTTATTTCAAAAACTCAACTGAAATGCAAAAAAAGATTTGTGCAGTGTATGGAGAAGGTGCTATGACAGACTAAATGTGTCAAAAGTGGTTTGCAAACTTTCATGCTGGTGATTTCTTGCTGGACAATGCTCCATGATTGGGTATACCAGTTAAAGTTGATAACAATCAAATTGAGACACTGATTGAAACAATCAGCGCAATACCATGTGGGAGATAGCTGAATACTCAAAATATCCAAATCAATAAAGTTACTGGTAAAAATGAAAAACGTGTCTTTTTCACTTCAATACTTTTGTAGATACTAGATTTCAGTTAGAGTAATTGGATTTGACATTGTTATAATGTTAAAGGGCAGTGCTACCAGTTAAAATGTCCACTCAAAAATGTATAGAAATACAGAGAAATAATGTACAGATTTTAGGTTTTCTTACCAAGGCACTACTTAGAAATGTGGTTAAGAGAGTATTTTTAAATTTTTGGAAAGCCTGGTTTTTGTTCCTGTTTCTCCTAAACTTATGACACTTTTATTCAGTTTTATTAGAGGGAGAATAACTTAACCAATTGAATTCTCAATATCATTTCCTCTGGCAAATTGATAATCTCTCATGGAAGTTCTAAGTGAAATGCCACTTTGTTATAAATTGAATGATACTTGTTGATAACAGAACATAATTATATATTCTCTCTAATTATTGTTTCTAGTCATGATTATTTTATACTGGAATATTATTATATTGCAAAATTGTTACTAAAACATGATAGTTAAGATTTAAGTTGAATTTATTCCAATTGTACATGATTTAACAGTGTTTGACTAGAACAGTGTTTATTAGCTTTAAAATAATTATGTTAAAAAGTATATTGACTCCAATAGAATTTTTTTTCTGGACTGTTAAGATGTTGAATTAAAAAGATTGTGTTGTTATGTGTAAATCATAAAATACGTTAACATGGAACATAGATTGAATGTTTATAAACTGCCAGAAAGGAGGGTAAAATCTTGTGTTTTGTAGAAAACAACCTCCAATAAGTACTGTAGTGATAGTTCCTTGATGGTTTGGTAAATAATTGTGAGTTTCTGAATGAATATGGTGTTAAGTTGTTGGAGCAGATTCTTTTTTTTAAATAAGACATCTGTAGTGCTTAGATATAGAACACTGCATTGCTGTTATCAGAAAATAACCCTACTTTTGTGAGATCTGGTTCTCTTTTACTGAGGGAAAAAAAGTAAGTTTTAATGATGTTTGGTGCGTTTGTGCTTTTGTCTTTTTCTAACCAACAATTCTAGGCAAATCCCCACACTTCCAAATCCTAGGCTCACATTGACTTCTGGTATAGTGGTAGATTGGAAACTCTTTAAGTTATAAGATACTCTGGTAAACTGTAGGTTCATTTTAGTTTTCAGTCTCTGATAGGTTCCCTTTCAGAACTCAAGAGTAATGGTGCAGATAATCCAAAGAGACCTTTATAAGGAGACACTTAAAGCTTTTAGGGATGTGCGTGGGATATGGAATTTGGACAAAGGTTTGATTTTGAGTAATAGGAACCTGAGTGTATGTACAGCCCTGTCATCACTCAAAGACATATACTTTAATTATAGGTCATATATGAATGTATTTTTGGAAAAGTTTTACTCATAATGAACTGTTTCTTTGCCATACAGAAGGTTTGACTTAAGTAGTCAGGTTTATCAGACTTTTACTTCTGGCATTTGGATTTTACATTATAGTTAGAAAGGTTGCTCTAAGTCTTTGAAACAGTTAAAGCTTGGAATCTTGTTTCTTTAGTAGATAAATATATACATATGTTTAAAATGAACTGTATTCTTAAGTCACAAACTTACATGTGTATATTCCTTTCAGGAACCTCTTTTCAATTAATAATGTCTATTACCTTAATATAGATTTCATTCAAACAAATGAATTTTAAAATAAATATAATTTTTTATAGATATTTTGAATAGAGTAAACCCCAGCTCATATTCGAGGGGAATAAAGAATGGCGCACTCAGTAGAGGTATAGTATTATTTTATTATTTTAATTTTAAAGTGAAGTATTTTGATATCATTGATTATATAGAAATATATTCAATATATTGTGTAATTTTGAAATACAGGTATTACTGCTGCATTCAAGCCTACAAGTCAGCACTACACGAACCCAACATCAAATCCAGTGGCTGCCTCGCCAGTAAATTTTCATCCTGAATCTAGATCTTCAGATAGTTCTGTTACTGTTCAGCCTTTGTCTAAACCTGTAAGTGTTTCTGAAACTACACAGTCAGCTCAGGAATACATTGGATATTAGTTATCAATGTCAACCATACCCAGTTAAAGTTCTGGACTATCATGGGTAGTCAGTCATTCAATAGAACCATAATCAGCATCAGGAAATGTCATATAGTAGCTCAACCAATACCCAAAGTAGTAACTGTAGGAACTAACTCCCCAACCTGTTCCTAAATCAGGTAATATGCTTAAGTTAAATAGGTATAGTATTAAAAAATGTGCTATCAAAATATGAATAAAAGTATAATCAGTAATGAATATTGCATAATGGCAGGCTGTTTAAGATGATAAAGTGGGCCAAGTGTTCTTAGTTCTTAATTGGGAAAATTCTTGAGAGGCTATCATAGCTTTTTATTCTGAAATCATACTTTCGTAGTATAAAAAATTCAAAGCCCTGACTGGTGTGGTTCATCACATTGGGCATTGTCCCACAAAGCCAAAGGTCACCAGTTTGATTCCCTGTCAGGGTACATGGCTGGGTTGTGGTTCAGTCCTTGGTCAGAGAGCATACGAGAGGCAACCAGTTGATGTTTCTCTTGCATGTCGATGTTTCCCTCTCTTTCTCCCTCCCTCCCCCTCTCTCTAGAAATAAATAAATAAGATTTTTTTAAAAACCTCAACAAAAAATAATTGTTAGTATTTATCAAACTGTTAATATGTGTAAGGCTTTGTGCTAAATGCTATCAATATAAAAATTAATCTAATTTAATTCTTAAATGTCCCTGTGAAGTAAGCAGTGTTATTATCCCTCTTTTCTATTTGAGGAAACTGAGGCTCACAGATGTTAAATAATTTACTCAGCATCACACAACTGGCAGATGACAGTTTTGAGGTTTTAATCCAGACTTACCCATAGTTCATATATATTTGCATATATACATACATACATATATACTCATGCATATGCTATATATAAATGTATACTTTAAAAAATGGGAGCATTGCCTTAGTATGACAGTTGCCAAAGTTCTTTTTTCAGGCCCTGGAGATTCCCCTGAGACTCTTTCATGGATTTTGGAGTCAACAATATTGTGATCATAATACAAAGACACTATTTGCCTTTTATATTATGTTGACATTTGCACTTATGATGCAAAAACAATAGTGGGTAAACTGCTGGTGCCTCAAGACATTGGTATCAGGCTGTACTAGTAGTTTCTGTTTTAGTCACCACCATGCACTCACAGTAAAAAATATTGCAATCATACTGTTTCCTTGAGGATATATTGAGATGTTATTAATTTTGTTAATTCTCCACTTTTGAATATGTGTCTTTTAAAAATATTTTGTGTGATGAAATGGGTAGTTTGTGTAAAGCACTTCTTTGAACTATGATGTATCTTGAAGAAAACTGCTTGTGTTGAATTGGGAGCTAAACTATCCACTTTTAAAAAATAGAAGAACATTTTTACTTGAAAGAATGACTATTTGTTTCTCCATATCAATGTTATCACAAACTTGTGCTTCAAAACCACACAAATTTCTTATCTCACAGTTTCTGTGAGTTAGGAGTCAGGTCATAGCTTATCTGGATCCTCTGCTTCAAGATCTCACAAGACTGCATTCAAGGTGTGGGCTCTGAGGTAGCAGTGTTATCTGAAGCTTGACTGGGGAAGTATCTGCGTCCAGGTTCTCATGGTATTGGCAGCATTTGATTACTTGAGTCATCATAGCTTTTTGCTTCCTCAAAGCCCACATGAGAAAGAGAATCTTGGCAGGGTAACATTAAAATCTTATGTAATGTGAGCACATACAAAAAGTCATGTATAATCTGTTGCCTTTGCTGTATTATTTTGGTTAGAAGCAAGTTACACTCAAAGGGAATCACACAAAATATGAATACCAGAGGATGGGATCGTGGTGGCCACTTTTGAGTCTGGTCACCGCATACAATGAGTTATTTAATCTTGGTATTTTGGCAGACATTTCCACAGAATTGAAAAGGGCACCTGCCACTTAAAGAAAAAAAAATTAATAGTATTTTTTGTGAATGGTAAAATTTGAGCTTTCAAGCAAATGATAGAAATTTGGAAAACTGTGTCTGCCACCATGATCTTGACAGCTTCGTTAAAGACTTTTCTAATGGGTGGTGGTATTAATGTTTGTGATTTTTTGACATTATGTAATGAACTCTGTCAAGATTTGGGAGATCTGCATAATTCAAAGAAACAGTGTTTTCCACGTGCCAGTGCATGATGTTAAAAAAGTCATGCCTGAAAGAAAGCTTCATTTGCTCTGGTTGGGTGCCTCAGTTGTTTGGAGCATCATCCCCTACATCAGAAGATTGCAGGTTCAATTCCTGGTCAGGGCACATACCTAGGTTGTGGGTTTAGTCACAGCTCTAGGCATGTATGGGAGGCAGCTGATCAATGTTTCTCACATTGATGATTTTTTCTCTCTCTCTAAAATTAATAAACATATTCCCAGGTGACAATTAAAAAATTTTTGAAAAGAAAGATTCATTCAGAGTATAAGATACATTAATAGATTTTAATGAAACAAAGTACAAAAAAGTTTAGTGATAGGGAGTAAGATTCTACATTCCAAAAAACCTGTAATACCAACTGTTGAGTTTTGTTGTAGTATTGTGTACTCAGTTATCCTGAATTACATAAAAATACTCCCTTTTTGAACTATATGTATATTTATGAAGCCATATTGTCTTTATATTTTCAACCAAAACATTTCCTAACAGATTAAAGAAAGAAGCAGATAGGAGACTGTAGCAATTTTTTATTAAGCTAGTCATTAAAGAGATTTGCAGATGTGTAAAACAATGTCACTATTTTCTCTAATTTTTTTGTATTTTCAAAATAGTCATTTTCTTATCAAAATTACTTATGCTAATCTATAATGGGTTTTTATTAAAATTAATATTTTTTTAAAATTTCTGTTTTACTATTTAATATAATAAATATCAATAGATATATCCCACCTAAATAAAAACTCTTTTGGGTCTTAAGTAGTTTTTAAATGTGTAAAAGGGCCCTGAAATCAAGAAGTTAGAATACTAAAACAAAAAGTTACCCAAACATAGATTTTTTGCTGTAAGTCAAATTAACTCATTGGGGTTTAGTGTTTTTTTTTTTTTTTCATGTTTATAAGCTATTTGACATTGGTCTTAGAGAAATAGTAAATTTTTTTTATGTTCTTTTGACATTAAGGGAAACAACTACCAAAGCCACCTGTACCTTTTCTTGTAAATGGGTTTAATGCAAGAATTGAATCCAAATATTTTTAGTATGAATAATTTATTTTTTGTGTATTTCATATCATTACTATAAGGTAATCTACCTATGTGTTAGCACTAAAAGTTGGTATTTCGAGGTGGTATCTTTTATAGAAGAGTTATTAAATTAATTTCAGTTTACATAAAAATGAAAAGAAAGGCTATAGCCTTTTAAATGCATAGCTAAATAAACTCAACTTCTACTTATATTTTGAAGATGTTATATATCGTAAAAAATAGGAATATCTTTGGGCAAACACCTACCCTCTACCACCTCCCTTCCCCTTCTGAATCCTTTTCTGTGGCTTCAGCATTCTGAAATAATGATTAATAATGGTATGAGCCCTGGACTAGTATTTTAAAGACTTAGATTGAAGCCAGAGACTTAAATGCTGATTCTGCCCTGCTCTTAACTATTGTCGAAATCTGAGACTCATTTTCTTCATTTATAAAATGAGAGATTTTACCCAGACCACTGATTCTCAATCTTGGATTCAGAGATTCCATAGACTATATCTGACGCTATAGAAGATGGAAGTCTACCAAAAATATGAAGATTCTTTGCTATTATTAGTTGGAGTCAGATTAAGTCTGGTTTTCGAATGCTTATTGTAAGCTGTTGGCATATGGCGGATAGAAAAACCAGAAAAAGAAGCTTTATTATTCAGTTTGATAGAGACCATCTTTATAGCATTGGACTCAAAGAGAAAAAAATAAAGTGAGGGGTGGTATGTTTGGTGCTATAAAAGTTAGAAACTGGAGTTTTCAAAATTACATTGTTTTATTTCTGTGGGCAAAGTTTTAAATCAAAGCACCTTAATTGGTGTTACCCAACCCTGGGGAACTTAAAAGGAGACATTTTGCCAGTTGGTCTGAGTGGGTCTTGAAATGATACATTTAAAAAAATAATCTCCAAATGATTCTAATGTGCAGTCAAGGTTAAGAATGACAGATATATTGTGGAATGAATTGAGAATCCATTTTAAGGGAATTTACTCTGAATTTTGGAAGCCAGTCTTCTTTTTTTTTTTTTAAGATTTTATTTATATAATTCAAGAGAAGGGAAGGGAGGGAGAAAGAGAGGGAGATAAACATTCATGTGTGGTTGTCTCTTGAGCACCCCCTACAGGGGACCTGGCCTCCAACCCAAGCATATGCCTTGAACAGGAATCAAACCAGCCACCTTTTGGTTTACAGGCTGACACTCAGTCCACTGAGCCATACCAGCCAGGGCTGGAAGCCACTGTTGTTAATAAATTATATTGTAGTTGTTCATTTTATATCATGTTGTGTGTGTGTGTGTTTATTTTTTCATGGAATATCTCTATACGTCATCATCTCTTTAAAGTCTCAGGTAGCAGGGATCTGTTATCACTTATAAAGTCAGTGTGATATAGCCTGAAGACGTAGGGCTTGGTAACCAGACCTGAGTTCTAATTAGAGCTCCATCAATAAGAAGTTAGGGCTGTTTTGAGAATCTTACATATCAAAATCAGTCTCTAAATTTATAGAATGGGGGTATAATAGTTGGTTTTTATTAGTGCTGTTGTGGCAATTACTTGATTTAATTCATACATGTACAGTGAAGTACAAGTACATTTGAAACACATGTACTGTGTAGTACAAGTATATTTAAAGTGAAAGTACATTTAAGTTTGAAAGGTAAGTAACTGAAACTCAGAAGTGACTTGCTCAAGGTTACATAGTTAAATAAATGTGCAGATATTCTAAATCTCAGTCTATTGCCTTATATTGTATTTGATATCTTTCTGTACTGTTTTATAAGACATTGAAATTCCCTGTTAAGGATTATTTTAACCAGTTATTGTTGAATAACATATCTGTTCTCTGAAATTATGGTACTTAATTAACCAGAATTGTTTCCTAGAAAATGTTATCACTGTTAACTTTATATTTCTGTTAAAGTACTATTTTGGAAAACGTAATCGAATATTTTCTATTCTTTGAAAGGCAGGTATTTAGAAAAAATATTTATCTTGAAGTAAGACTGTGCTTGGTTACAATTATGCCATTTGGCAGTATTGATGATTTTTATTTTTATATTTATTTATTTATTTATTTATTTATTTATTTATTTATTTATTTATTTATTTTTGTACAGCTTGTTAAGGCTCAAATACAAGTATTTTCCCTTCAGGCCTCTGATACTAGGAGTGGTTTGGGTTACTTTAATGCTTGTTTCTATACCTTTAAAAAAAAACAACAACAGCCATCATTTATTTAGTCACAGATCTGCAATTTGTACAGTGTGTGGTAAAGAAGGTTCATCTGTTTCTCTTTTAATTAGTTCATCGCAATTTCATTGCGATGTAATTGACATATTATATCAAGGTGTCAAACTCATTTTCACTGGGGGCCACATCAGCCTTGTGGTTGCCTTCAAAGGGCCAAATGTAATTTTAGGACTGTATAAATGTAACTACTTCTTAACAGCTAAGTGAGAGCTCAGCACTGCTCCTGGGTAGAAACAAGGTGTCGGGTCGGATTAAACAAGGTAGAGGGCTGGATTCTGCCCGTGGGCCTTGTGTTTGCCACCTGTGTATTATATGAATTTCAGATGTACAATATAAAGATTTGATATTTGTGTATTTTATTGATTATACCATTACATTTGTCCTTTTTTTTCTCCCCTTTCTCACCCTCCGCCCCACACCCCCATTTCAACATACCTCCTCCTTAGTTCATGTTCATGGGTCATACATGTAAGTTCTTCGCCTTCTCCATTTCCCATAGTATTCTTAACACCCCCCCATTTTGTAGCTACCATTTATGCTTCTTATTCCCTGTACCTTTTCCCCTATTCTCCCCCTACTCCCTTCCCACTGATAAACCTCCATGTGACTCCGTTTCTGTGATTCTATTCCTGTTCTAGTTGTTTGCTTTGTTTTTTTAGGTTCAGTTGTTAATAGTTATGAGTTTGTTGTCATTTTATTGTTCATACTTTTGATCTTCTTTTTCTTAGATAAGTCCCTTTAACATTTCATATACTAAGGACTTGGTAATGATGAACTCCTTTAACTTGACCTTATCTGGGAAGCACTTTATCTGCCCTTCCACTCTAAATGATAGCTTTGCTGGATTGAGTAATTTTGGATGTAGGTCCTTGCCTTTCATGACTTGGAATACTTCTTTCTAGCCCCTTCTTGCCTGTAGGTTTCTTTTGAGAAATCAGCTGATAGTCTTATGGGAATTCCTTTGAAGGTAACTCTCTTCTCCTGCTACTTTTAAGCTTCTCCCTTATCTTTAATCTTGGATAATTTAATCATGACATGTCTTGGTGTGTTCCTCCTTTGGTCCAGCTTCTTTGGGACTCTGAGCTTCCTGGATTTGTATGTTTCTTTCCTTTGCCGGATTGGGGAATTTTTCTTTCATTATTTGTTCAAATAAGTTTTCAATATCTTGCTCTTCCTCTTTTCATGCTGGCACCTCTATGATTCAGATATTGGTTTAAAGTTGTCCCAGAAGTTCCTAAGCCTCTCCTCATTTTTTTTTTTAATTCTTGTTTCTTCATTCTTTTCTGGTTAAATGTTTATTTCTTTGTTCTGTTCCAAATCATTGATTTGAGTCCTGGTTTCCTTCCTGTCACTATTGGTTCCCTGTACATTTTCCTTTATTTCACTTTGCATAGCTTTCACTTCTTCCTCTATTTTGTGACCATACTCAACCATTTCTGTGAGTATCCTGATTACCAGTGTTTTGAATTCTGCATCTGGTAGGTTGCAATCTCATCATTGCTTAGTTCTGTTTCTGGATTTTTTTATCTAGTCTTTCATTTGGGCCATGTTTCTTTGTCCCGGTGCAGATGTTATGTTATAAGGGGCAGAGTCCTAGGTATTCACCAGGGCAGGGCAAGCCACTTTGCTACATTGTGGCGCTGCATGTAGGGGAGGGATCAGAGAGGGAACATTTTCACTTGCTTGGCTCTCACCCTGCTTTCAGTCACTTCCCCTGCTGCCCAGAAGTGAATTGGGCCCTTCTGGTGCTGATTCCCGGGTAGATGGGTTTGTGTACATTTTAGTACCCTGTGGGTCCCTCCAATGGACTCTTCTGTGAGACTAGGAGTTTCTCCTGCTGCTTCAACCCCCACAGGTTTTTACCACCAGAGGTTTTGAGGCTTTATTTCCCTGCGCTGGAACCTGGGGTACGTGGTCTGTCTTGCTCCCCTGTTGTTCTTCCCTGTTTATCTGCATGCAAACGTGGGACCATCAGGTCCACCAACCACCACCTTGCTGTGCATCCTCTCTGCCCCAGCTGCCCGACTCTGCCCCTCCTACCAGTCTGGACGAATGTTTTTTGTTTAATTCCTTGGTTGTTAGACTTTCCTGCAGTTTGATTTTTCTGGCAGTTATGGTCGTTTTTTGTTTTTAAGATTATGATACATGGAATGATCCAGAAGTCACTCTGAGAGCTTACTCTCCTTCATGATGGTCTTTAATAAATAGCATTAGAATGTATTTTGTGTGTGTCAGTATCTTTAATACATAACAGTATTGGAATATACGAGGTCTGTCCAGAAGGTATCCAGCCATGTAATATAAAAAAATAGAGACATTTGTTGAAGAAGATACAAGGTATAAGAAACATTGTATATAGGACAGTGATGCCTCAGTCCCCTTCAAAGTAGGCACCTTGGGACCCCACACAGTTCTCCCAGTTGCCGTCAGCTGACCCATTATATTTTCCTGAATCTCATTAATGGTCTGAAATCTCCTCCCTTTGAAAGGTGATTTTAGTTTTATGAAAAGCCAGAAGTCACAGGGCACCAAATCTGGGCTGTAGAGGGGCTGAGTCACCTGGGTGATGGATGTTTTGCCAAAATACTCTGTACCAGATGTAATGCATGAGCAGGTGTGTTGTCATGATGAAGCTGCCAATCACTCCTTGCATCCCTGTGAAAGCCTTGTGAATCATCTGAATAGTTTTCACAGAGGAATGTTCAAGCTTTAACACAAATTTGATGCAGATTCATTGCTCTACTTGCTCAGTCATTTTAAATGCAGTGGTCACACAGTATACATATCCTCACTAAGAGGTGTCTACTACCCCCACTGACTAGTACAGTGAAGTCATTGTCCATGCATACACATTCTAGTCCACTCTTCTTGGCTGCCAGGTTACATCGATGCCACACAAACTGTTCTTGTTATATTAATAATGGCTGGACTTTTTCTGGACAGACCTTGTATTATATTGACCACACTTTTCATAATTATTTATACTAAACATATATGTGTGTTAATATACATTTATATTTGACCACATAATGGTTCATCTCATACTTTTTACTCTTCTTGAGATCATTCTGCTAGCTGGAAGGTGTGAAACTTCCTTTGAGCCCTAATGTCTCCTGCTGGTCTAAATCAGTCCTATATACATCTTCCATTTTAAACCCTATCTGGCTAATTTTCTTGTTTGTTCATCTTGCCAGTCAGACAGTTTTTGTATTTGCTCTATAAGATGGGAAATTCCCTGACCCATCATGGCTTTTTGAGCGATGGTGGGAAGAGTGGGGAACCCATTCTTTTTCTTCCTGACCCTTGGCCTAACAGATTTTCTAATAAAGATGATTCTGAAACTCAGACTGTGTGATATATTCATCCCTAACCCTGATGCATAATACTGCATATTGATTCGCAGTTTGTTTGCCCTGATATTTGGCTCTGTGGTTGATAGAGTTGCAGAAGCTTTTAAATTTGTGTTTATATTAGTATGTTTTTCTCTGTTTTTCCTTGCATTTATCCAGAGTTTTGCTAAAATATATTATTTGTTCTTTGAAGGGAATACTGTTTTTAGTAACTCTCTGATGTATAATTAACCTTGTTGATTTAAAATGGGCTTATATGTTTTTTTTTTACCTTGAAAAACATTATACTAGAACTTGTCCCCCATTTTAATTAGCTAGTCAGGAATAAGCCACCTCTAGGTTTGCTTTTAGGTTTAATAGATGATAATTTTGGCAGAGAGTAATAATTACATTTATATTTTGTAAGTTATTAGTAATGAGTTATCAATGATTTCTTATATTATTGCATACAGTTAAATATATTTTTATAAAAGTTTATGAAACAAAATAATTATTACTTGAATGAATGTAATATTCTTCCTCTGGAATATTTTAACAGGGTTACATAGCAAACTCATCACGAGTTGCATCTAGTAATTCTACAGAGTTACTGTTTGACTTGACCCAGGATACAGGATTATCACATTTCCATGGTGGACCAACACTTTCTTTAGCAGGTTGGTTTCAGTACTTTTTCAAAAAAATTAGAAAATGAAACTTGATGAATATGTATATGGAGTCAACTTTCTGTTTTGAAGTCCTTGTTTTCATCTTTAGTTTTTTATATAGTAAAGAGGAATGCTGCTAATCTTGAATGCCTTTCTTGGGTAATTTTAAATCTCATTTAATAATAGAATATTTCTTTCTTTCTTTTAATTAAGTAGGCTAATTGACTTTGAAATTGTTATCACTCACACTAAACATGGACAGAAAAATCTGAAAATAATTTTAGTGTGTTAGAGAAGTCCTTTGATAACCTAAATACTCGATTAAACAAACTATTCATTAGCTTCTATGATGACTAGTGTGAAAAAGTATTATAGTTGATTTCTTAATTAGATTAGTGTCTTTCTATTCATTTAATGACTTAAATGTGGTAGTTAAATATGCTTATAAAGTGCTATTATAAGTGGCTGTAATAAATTTGTATGTAGTCAAATAATAAGTAAGTGACTTTTAAAGGAGTAATGAAATTTCCCTATTGAAGAAGAGCTTAAAGTTCTTTGATTATGTACTATAAAAAAGTTCTCCATTAATCTAAACTAAATTAATGTGTTATGAACAAATTTAATCTAATTGAAAATTCCCTGTAATCAAGGCAGATATGCTTTATTCATTAGCAATTTTTATATATTTCAAATATTTAACTAAATAGAGATACACAAGATTTTTAGGACTTTTAGATTATTTTTCAATAAATATAGAGAATTTACCAAGCCTACCCCAATTTTTGAATAGTAATATTAGTGCCTAAAATGGTTTTCTCTTTAAATAATATTTAGTTGATATTCACTTCTTTGGGTGTCACTTCCTTGTGACACTTGTAAAAATCTAGTTTTTAAAATAGGTAGGAACCAAAAGAAAGAAGGAGAAAAAATAGTTGTTTTAAGTCTGGTTTTACAAAACACATGGACTTTATTCATAGGGAAGGTCTGAATTCTTGAAACTTCTTGGAGTAAGGACAGTGGCTCCTACTCTCTGTTTTCTACTGCAGAGAGAGAGACTTCATTCACCTGGAGCGGTAAGTAGGATGGTTTAGAAGATGTAAATTTGAAATGTTATTCTTAAGATTTTTGTAGTCTTTATTAAAAATCTTTACAGTTCAGTTTTCTCATGTTACTAAAATGAAGTTTTTATTTTTCTTACTTAATGCATCCATTCTCTAGACCTGGAATCAGCCATTTGGAGATAAATTTTTAATTCTTGCTATATTTTAGTTGGGGCCTTTTGGAGGGCAAACAAGATAAAATGTGAAAATGCTCTATGAGCTTTAAAGGATTTGAAAACAAATAGTTGTTATGAATGATAATATATGCTATATGTTCAGTAGTGTGATTAACCGATGACTGTCAAGTGATCACAGATGCTGGAGATAACATTTGATCTTAAACTTGAATGAGAAAGGATTTTTACTAGCAGAGAAAAGAGCTGTTGAATATAGGAAACAACATAAGCCAAAGACAGTGGAGATAAATAAGTTGAAAGGTCAGAATGAAAACTCTTAAATGCAGAGGGATTTTATTTTTATGTTAAAAAATTCTTATAGTAAAATAGTTTATTTCTGTTGTCCAGCCTGTTGTATAATCAGATGCTTAATACAAAATACCAGCTCTCATTGGCTTTTCAAGTAACCAGATCATCTTACAAGAATGCTACTGTGGCCCTGGCTGGTGTGGCTCAGTTTGAGCATCATCCTGTGGACTGAAAGGTTGTGGGTTCGATTCCTGGTCAGGGCATATACCCAGATTATGGGTTTGATTTCTGGTTGGGGCACGTAGGAGAATGCAGCCAGTTGATGTTTCTCTCTCTCATTGATGTTTCTCCCTCTCCCTTCTCTCCTTTCCTTTTTTCTCTAAAGCAATGAAAAAGTGTCTGCTGGTGAGGAAGAATAAATAAATAGGTAGATAAATAAATAAAAAGAATGCTACTGTAATTACACAAAATCTTTCCCAAGTAACCATAGAATAGCCATATTAGTAATCGTTCTTTGAGGGTGGGAAAAAAATCATTTTTATGTCATCTCAAAGGATGAGACAGGAGCCTACTAGTCTAGTAGTCGCTTAATTTTCTGACGTTTCCCTTTATTAAAAAGCTGACAGGTGAATCTATTAGGTTAATTTTTCCCCCTCAAAAATAAGACAAGACATAAAATACTTTTTTAGTAATGATAATAGCTGTCATTTATTAATCTTGCTTTTTATGTGACAGATACTGTATTAGATGCTTTAAATGCACTATCTTTTTTGATCTTAAAAGAACTTTGTAAAACAAGGTATAATAACAACAGAGGAAACTGAAGCTTAGAAAAGTTAAATAAGCCAAGAATACATAGTCAGTGGCAGAGCCTGGATTTGAACTCAACTTTTTTTGACTTAAAAGTCTATAATATTTTTTCTCATTTTTAAATCATTTTTTTTAAATACAGTTGACATAGCTTATTATATTAGTTTCGGGTATACACCCCATTGATTAGACATTACTTAACCTATTAAGTGATCATCCCGATACATCTTGCACTGTACACACTTAGTAGAATATTAGCTACATTCCTTGTGTTGTACTTTACTTCCCATGACTATTCTGTAATAACCAATTTGTACTTTTTCTTTTTAAGATTTTACTTACTTGTTTTTAGAGAGAAGGGAAGGGAGGAGAAAGAGAGAAACATCAGTGTGTGGTTGCCTCTTGAGTGCCCCCTACTGGGGGCCTGGCCTGCATTCAGGCATGTGCTCCCACTGGGAATCCATCCAGTGACCCTTTGGTTCCCAGACTGGCACTCAATCCACTGAGCCACACCAGCCAGGGCCCAATTTGTACTTCCTAATCCCTTTACCTTTTTCACCTACCCCCCTAAACCTCCTCTCATTTGGCAACCATCAAAATGTTCTCTGTATCTATGAGTCTGTTTCCATTCTGCTTGTTCATTTATTTTGTATTTTTAATTCAATCGTTGATAGATATGTATGCATTGCCATTTTATTGTTTATTTTTTATGTTGTTTTCCTTCTTTTTAAGAAGACCCTTTAACATTTCGTATAATACCAGTTTGGTGATTTGGTGATACCGGTCTTTTAGGGTTGTGGTTGTTGTTGTCATCGTCTAGGAAGCTCTGTATCTGTCCTTTGATTATAATGATAGCTTTCCTGGGTAGAGTAATCTTGATTATAGGTCCTTGCTTTTCATCACTTCAAGTATTTCTTGCCAGTTCCTTCTGGCTTTTGAAGTTTCTATTAAGAAATCAGCTGACATTCTTATGGGAGCAAATCTGGAATATTTCTAATATATTTACTTTATCGATTTCACTTTTAGTGTACATTTGGGAGCATTAAAATATCATGTGCAGGTTTAGAATTCTTATTACAAAGTATAGTTGTGTTATTTTCAGAAAGGACTTTTGCCTGGCCTAAATATCCTCACTTTCCTTGCTAATGCTCTAAATAAAATCTTTTAGCTTTAAGGTGATGATTTTTAAACTAAAAACTCTTTTTAGGAATGAAATCCTTATACAAACAAAATTATATGCAATAGTTTAATAAAATATATAGGACAGTTTCTCTGTTGGACATGCCCAGTAGTCCCTTTGAGAAGACCATGAGGCCCTGGGAACATAATTTAAAAACCTAACTCCTTTTATCAAGATAAGTTGTTTTTACCCTGTGTGGTGTGGCTCAGTTGGCTGGACATCATCCCACAAAGTGAAACATCTCTGCTTTGATTCCATCTCTGGTCAGGGCACATGCCTTGGTTGTGGGTTCAGTCCCTGTTCGGGGCACATATGAAGGGCAAATGATAGATGTTTCCCTATCACATTGATGTTTTTCTCCCTCTCTCCTTCCTTTATCCTCTCTCTTAAAGAAAACAAGGATTAGTTGTTTTTACTTTGTACATAGGAATAAGTGGGGGTAATATAATCTAAAGTCATGAATAGACCACTTCTTTGTTAGGTGGGAAACTAACTTTTCATTGAACATTTTAAGTTGTTAAATAAAAAGCTTCTAAAGGGTCTCTAAATTTTTACGAAAATATTTTTAACAAACTTTAAATAATTTAATCATCAAAAGATAATTCATTTGTAAGAACTCAGTTCAGAGTATTCTCTGTGCATTAATTTTTTTTCCTTGGGATATTTTGGTCTGGCTTCTTTCATCATAGCTGTTTGTATATTTATTTGAAACCATATTGAGTATTTTCTTGTATAGAAAGATTATTTTATGAATTATTTGACCTATGTATAGTCCATAATAGATGTTCATACAATTTTTTTCTATGTCCCCTTACTTGATCACATTAGTATTATAATTTATTGTTATTTTTGTTATATTTCAATTAAAATACCTCCAAACTATTTTACTTAGTATTTTACTTAATTTACCTCCAAAGTATTTTTACTTAGTTGTAAGCAATATTCTAAAGTGTTTAAAAATATTTTTCCTACTGTTTTAATTATCATAGGTGTGAATGAAAGTTCATTTTTATCAAAACGTCCTTCTACTTCCGAGGTGAACAGTGTTAATCCAAAAAAGCCTAAACCCAGTGAAAGTGCTTCTGGAGCAAATTCCTCAGCTGCATTTCCTTCAGCTAAATCTCTTTCAGTGACATCTCCCCAGGCTATGTCATCAAAAGGTAAATATGAAATGTGGCATATAAAAAAGAAATGTATAGATACAGTTTAGAAATTATAGTAAATTTACAAATTGGTTAGTGGTTATTTACACTTAAAAAGTGATGAATTTTGAATCATGTTTTGAATTTATTTTAGGTACAAATACCTCATCAAGTCAATCTAAAAATGGCACGCCTTTTCCAAGAGCTTGTCCAAAGTGCAATATTCATTTTAATCTTTTGGATCCTTTGAAAAATCACATGAAGGTAAAACTTTTTCAAAGTTTGTTTTTAAAAAAGTTTGCAAATCCTTAGAACTATTGATTGATTTTTAGTAAATAATTGTTCAGATATTTAGTTAAGAAAGCTCATGTTGGAATTTCCATATAACAGGTAAAAATTTATATTCATAATGATTATCTTCATATAAGATTTTAAAATTTCTTCTGAATCATTAAATTTAAAAAATTAAGTTCATATACATAATAATGTATGCTTGTTCTAATTTTAAATGAAAATAAATTAATCAGATTAGTTTATTTACTAGATTATGCCATGCTTCAAGCTTTTTAAAAAAAACAGGCATTTTATTCTGTGTTTAAGGTTTTATATAACAACAGTTTCTTCAGTTACATTATTTTTGTGTTTATGCTAATATGTACATGTCACAATACACAACAAAAATCAGTTTTATGTTTAATTTTCAGCACTCAAACATAAACTCCAAATGGTGGAGCATTTCATATGAGATAATTATTTTAACTCAGTTCAGAATATAGTTTGTGTAATTGTTACAAAATAATTCAAGTTTATTATTGGTACAGGAAGCTCTCAATTAGATTTTAAGAAATTTTCAAGGTACAAATAAAATACAAGGTTTAGATAACACTTGACTTAAAATATTTTAGTAGATATTATAGTATTTTGTTTTTTCTTTATAAAGAGATACTGTATCCTAGGCCCATGTGGCTCAGCTGGTTGGAGCGTTGTCTGATAAAAAATGTGGGTTTGATCCCCAGTCCTGGCGTGTGTGGGAGGTGACCGATTGGTGTTTCTCTCTCACATTGATGTTTCTCTCCCTTCCTCTCTCTCTAGAAAAGCAATGAAAAAAAGTACTCAGGTATGGATTTAAAAAAAGATAGCCTGTATTCTCCTTGTATGGCCAGTATAAATGTCAGGAAGGGGTAAAAAAGAAGGGGGGGGATAGTGTTGAGGAGAGCCCCCAAAACACCCCACAATTTATTTATAAAAATTGTATATTTATTCTTACATGTTTAAACTTCAGTCACCTTCAAAGTACTCTCCATGTGATGCAATAAACCTATTGAGATGTTTTTCCATTGCTCAAAACAGTTTTTAAACTTGTTGATTTTGATACCTTTTAATGTTTTTGTTGTATTTTTGTTTCATCTTTTCCACATCTGCAGAAGTTTCCCTTTGAGGATATTTTTCATCCAGGGAAACAAAAAAAGTGGGTGGGGCAAGATTGGGTGAAAGTCAAGAGTGGGACACAGGAATCATGTGATTTTTGGTCAAATCCTGCTAAACACTCAGCACAGTGTGGGCAGGTATGTTGTCACCTGCCCACAGGAAGAACAAGTCATCTATTTGCCACAACTCAGGATGTTTCTTCTGCAAATTATGATGCAACCTTCTCAGAACTTTCAGATAAAAACTTTGGTTGATCGTTTCATCTCAAGGAACAAATTCCAAGTGCACAGTCCTTCTCACATCAAAGAAACAAATGACCATTGTTTTTATGTTTGACCTCACTTGTCATGCTTTTTTGCATTATGGGGAAACAGCTGTTTTCCATTGGCTACAATGCTGTTATGTTTTGGGGTTGTAATCCAGTTATGACTTTGGGGAAAAAAAATCAGGGTCAGCCTCCACCTGCTCCTTCAAAGAGTGACACATAGTCAAGCAATTGTCTCTGTGTTCAGGCGTGAGCAGGTGAGGCACAAATTTTGTTGAGACTCATTTCATGCTCAAGTCTTCAGATAAAATTCACTGATAGGACTCCACAATGCCTCAGTCAACTCGGTAAGTTCATCAGTAGTCCAGCCGTGGTCTTCCGAGATGGCTCTACAAATCCTTACCACATTTTCTTATTTTGGCTGGTTGAGGGATGCCTGGAATGAGGTTGATTGTCAGGTCCACATTTCATCTTGTTTAAAATGGGAAAACCATTCATAAACTCGTGTTTTACTCAGAGTAGCTTCTTTGTAAGCTATCTGTAGCATAACAACCATTTCCATCACATTTTTCCCTAACAAGAAACAAAATTTTACTGCTGCATGTTGTTTGTGTAAATCATCCCTCATGAAATGGGCAAACATGTTGAAAGAGTCTTCAAAAAAAAAATTCTTGAAGCCAAATGCAGCCTCTCACAATGCCACCTGTACACTGATACAGATAGGTTCCTAGAATGCTCACCTAGCAGAGGGAAGCCTGTAGCACAAGGGGCCTGCCCTTAAGAAGATAATTCCAGTTTTTGGGGGTCCCTCTTTATATAGCTTTGTAGTTCAGTATGTGTCTTTCACCTTTAGAATGTACATGTTTTGCTGACATTTTCTAAGATCTATTACCATTGGATCCTTTTGATTGCTCTGATCTACTTCCAAATGTGTATATGTGTATCTTCTCTCTGAACTTGGCTACTTTGAAGAGTGCTTTCATATGTTGTGGAGTCTGGATTTTATCTGGCACTTAGTTTCAATGAAAATATTTTTAGAATTTGGTTGTTGTGGTTTTGGGTGAATCCCAGGAGAAGGGGAAATGATGACTTATATACGATGATCATATGGGAAATTTTATTTTACTATTTAAACATGGTACCCACCTTTTTTGCTCTGAAAATCCTACCTAAATTTTTAGGTACTAACAAAGCAGCAGAACATGGTCTTTCTACTGGGAGAAATGGAAATGTGAATGGTGTTTAGACGATGTCTGCTATTTGTCAAATTACAGTATATGGAAGTAAAGTATTTAATATTGCAGTATTTAATAACCCAGGAAAAGAAATTATAAAATAGGGGTAATGGTGAAGGGCTAAGGCTGAATAAAAGAGATGACCAGTTGATCTTGGACTATAGCTTAGCCATGCCATCCAAAATTTACCCTATCCTACAAAATCTTAAATCTAAGCTCAGTTCTTATTTCTTAAGTTGCTTTCTTGCCTGTGGAATATTTTCTTTAGGATATTTTTCTGTCCTCTCATTTATTACATCCTTTAACCTACTTCAGTTCACCTTGTTCATTCTTAGTTGTCAGTGGTTTATCGTTCAGCTATTTTAAAGGTATATGAAACCTTGTTTAAAAGATAACTTGTTAACTGATGCTACTGATAACATCATTTGTAGTAAGACATATATTTTGAGTCCTCTTTCTAATTGTTCTAGTAAATTTACTCTGAACCATCTTTTTCTCCATTTATCCTTAAAGTCAAAAACAGTGTCAGCTGCACTTGAAAAACAATTTAAATAATGGGGGAAAGACGAGAGGGATCAATAATACTGTGAATGGTATTATTTTAAAAAGCTGATTCTAGCTTACTTTTCTGTTAAAAAAATAGAGGAACAGCAAGCAATTGATCATCTATTTTACATATCATAATTAGTGAGCTTTTAGGGTAACTTTAACTTTCATAGACGTACCAAATTAAACATTTTTAAAGAATATAAACCATGCAGCACACTCTACTATCCATTATTTTGTAGATTTCAGAAAAGAATCATGTTTCAGATACAAAACACAGTAACTTCTACAGTCCGAAAGCCAGATTCTTTGTTTGAGTATGTAAGATTATCCACATTTCTAATTGGGGAGACTATCCTGTATTTCATAATTTTTGTGCATTATAATTTTTTTCCATTGTTGGCTGAGTAAACTGTAAACTCTAGTAGAACTGTAGATAAGGTGGGGGGTTTGTCTATCAAACTGATGCTACTGATAACATCATTTGTAGTAAGACATGTATTTTGAGTCCTCTTTCTAATTGTTCTAGTAAATTTACTCTGAACCATCTTTTTCTCCATTTATCCTTAAAGTCAAAAACAGTGTCAGCTGCACTTGAAAAACAATTTAAAAAAATGGAGGAAAGACGAGAGGGATCAATAAGGACGTGATGTAATGATGAAAGGGTCAGTTCATAGCTATGTACCTAATAAAATAACTCAAAATTTTAAAAAATACCAAAAAAAGAGAAAAAACCAGCATTTTTAAGAAGAAGCTTAGTCTGGCAAAAGTCCTTAGAAATAGTCTGACTTTCTTAAGTTTGAGCTCTAAAATATTATGTGTCTGAAGAAGAATCTGGAAACAGAACAACCTTTCTCATTTTCTTCTTTTTGTCGTGGCTTCATTTGAACTGTATTTATTCTGAGTAGACTATAGAGGATCAGATTGTATTAGAGAACTAATATATTTATTCTGATTTAGTTTATGGGTGCAACCTTAAACAGAAATTTTGTCTGTCTTTGTGGGTTCATTTTATTCAGTACTTTCCCCTCTTTTTGATCTATTTTAGATTTTGTGGGGGTTTTGGGGTATTTTTTTCTTCATAGGTTTCAAAATTGACAAGTGAACAAAATAAGAGCAATAAGGAAATGTTACCAGTCTGTTTTGGATCAAAGGCCTAGATTCATTCCCACATGACATAGAAAGTTTCACCAATGACCTAACATTTCAGTGTGACAGGAGAAGTAGTAGATATTGTTATCTTAGAAATGGAGTACAGTTGCTTTTAGGTTTTCATACATTCTGATGTTGCTGCTAATTTACTAAATAACACATTTGGGAAGAGTTTGAATCAGTTGGTTTATGTTGTCAAAGAATTACCTGGATGGCTGTTAAAATATATATATATTACAGGGGTCTACATCTCAACGTTGTGGTTTATTGGTAGGAGTGGGCCCAGGAATTCATTAGTATTTTGATAACTCTTTTGGTTTTTGTAATACAGGTCTTCTTTGGATTGCTCTCTGAGAAAAAGTGCTGTAGAGAAATTTTACAACTAAAAACTATGTACATAAATGAATTAGTTATATCTTGTTGGGGATAAAAAGCTCATCTATGAAAGTGTTCTGCGTTAAAACCTGTTTATGTAATATCTTGATTTTACTTAAGAGCAACTAAATTTTCTCTTCAGATATTTAACCATTCTAGATAACAAGATGTAACTGTTGAAGTTTTCAAGACATAATTGAAGCTTTTTTTTTCCCCTATACATTTTATACCACCTTGAGCCTGGGGAATGAATGGCAGGTTAGCTGTGCTCAATGTCCAGTTTCAACCAGACTTATAAAATTTACTGTGTCACTTAATAATTAACACATACATTATAGCACATAAAATTACATTTTCTTTCTGTACTCTATTGACATGGATATGAAGTGAATGATTTTTAGTTTAGTTTAGTTAATTTAAGTATTTAAACTATTATTAAATACATCTGAAAAGGTTAATTGCAAGGAAAAAACTTTCAGATCACTAGCCAAATCCTGATTTGAAGATTTTTCTTTATTTGTTTATTAAGATAATAGATGTTTATTGTTTGAGTTTTTTGGACTATGTATAAGCACCACAAACTTTTAGTGAATATTTTTCCAGATATATTACCAAGCATAGTTTTACATGGTCTGGCCTTAGATGTAAACACAGAATCATTTTTAAGGATAAATAAGGTTTTTATTTTTCCTCTTTCAGTATTGTTGTCCAGACATGATAAATAACTTTTTGGGACTGGCTACAACAGAATTTTCAAGTACAGCAAATAAAAACAAGACTGTTGATTCAGAGAAAGGAAAGTTGATCATGTTGGTTAATGACTTTTATTATGGAAAGCATGAAGGAGATATCCAGGAAGAACAGAAGACTCACACAACCTTTAAATGCTTCAGTTGCTTGAAAATTCTTAAAAATAATATTAGGTATGTAAATACTTATTTTTATTTGAAAATTGAAATGCTGCAAATACAGATGCTGTCTTTATCTTGCATTTTTCTGTGCCATTCTAGATTTTAACACTTTGTACTAATAAGAAAGCCAGGTTCTTCTCTTGTTGAAAAGCTTTTGTCCTTGTATTTTAGAGTTGACTCCTGGATCTAGTTGTATTTCTTAAGATAACTTAAGAAGGGATGAACATTATTTCAAAGCAAAATTAACTTCTTTTCCCTATGTAATCTGTGACCTAGTAATTTTTATGAGATAGTTTTTATTTTTAGGTGCTTTTGAATTTTATTTATTTTTATAAGAACCACTTTATGCTTTGTCCAGTTTGACCACCTCCATACTAATCTTATTTAACACTCAAAATTTTCAATTGATATGTATAGTTTTTAGAACATTTACTTTGCAGAAAAAGTGATCTTCTATAGAAAAATTCCAGTTCTAGGAAGAATGTCTGCTTTATTGTAAAATTTAACTGCTTTAAAAATTAGTGATTTAATTTTCAGTCAAATTTTAAAGATTTTATACATGTATGCTTTAAGTTTTAGAAATGCTTACTTTGTAATCTTTGAGTTACATGCCAAACTACAATAGTAGCTATTATAAATGAGTTAGTAACAAGATATACTGATTGATATTTTTCATTGGTTATATAGCTTTATATGTATATTAGGTAAGGTATTTCCTACAATTTTATTATAAAATATTTTTAAACATTCAGCAATGTTTTAAAAACTTTATAATGGCCAGCTGTATACTTACCACCTTAATTCTGCCAGTAACATTTTACTGTACTTCTCTTTATCACATATCTATTCATCATTCCTTCAAACTATTCTTTTGTGTGTGCTTTTCAAAGTAAGTTGTAAACATTGTGTACTTGCCTTTGGTGAGGGGGGTGTGTGTGTACACAAACATATGTATGTATGTCTTTTTATGTTTATTCTTGATAACTATTTGCATTCTTAGGGATCAATAGATTACTTCTGGACCCAGTATTTATTATTTTTCCGTGAGTTCCTCTTGGGTTCAAAAAGAAACATATAGAATAATCCTGAAATACACTTATCAAACTTTAATAGTCATCAGTAGGTAATGGTTAAACAGAAGAGTATTGTACTTTGTGTTATAACACTGAAACAATATCACAATAGAACTAGGTCACAATATCCATATTCTATTTTAGATAGTAGTACCATACTATTTTGCTAGTAAAATAAAACAGGAAAATTATGTTCACCGAACATATTTTTTATGTTCAACAAAAAAATATGGTTCACTGACTTAGTTCCTTCTTATACCTAAATATTATGTTGGGAAGTTATTTCAGCAATAGTTTTTTTTTACTTGAAGATTAGCCCATTTAGTGTTAAACATATGAAAGTAAAACATTTCTTTTTTGTTATTGTTTCAGAAAACTAGTTACATATTTCTAGAATATCAGAATATATAGCCATTTTAAGCAGTGAAATTTCATAACATTCAGGAATTGAGCATTTTTTGAAATGCTGATTGTTTAGTAACTGTAAGCTAATGAAACACTTCATAATCAGAAGTTTATATGTTAAATAATATTTTGCCTTAATAGTAAAAAGTGGAAAGGCAAATTGATTCTTGTAGAGAATAATACAAAGCTGATTGGTCTAGGTTTCCACTCTGTCCAAGAACATATTGTGGTATGGTATTTATTTCTCCTTTGTCGAGTGTCACCAAAAACACTTAGGTTTATTTTATTCTGTGAACATCCTTGCAAGAAGTTTGGCTTTTTTTGTTTCCCTTATTTCCATCTGTTTTTTTAAGTAGTAGAGCACCTGATAGGAGCTCACATAATAATTGAGAGAAAGCTTGCTAGTTAAGAGATTGTTTTATATAGGTAACACTTTAATTGCTTAAAGTTGTTAGCTGCAATTTTAATGACCTTTTCTCTGTATGTAAATACTTAGCCAAAATTAGGGTTTTCTATACTTTTTTTAGAGCTGTTATTAAAATCAAAACAGGACAAAAAGGTATTTCAAGCCATGTCATGACCTATCCTAAGAGAAGTAGTGTTGTGGAGGTGTGAAAAAGAGATAAATGTGCTGACCTTCATGATGATTGCTATCCAGATTGATGACATTATTTTGTTTTAAGATTACTTCCTTTAAGGACTCGGTGAATAATTGTTAATAGTTACCCTAGTCTAAAAACTATTATTTTGGTCGAATACTTTTGAACAGCAAAAAGCTTCAGTAAGCTCTTTTAAATAGGTGTTCCCATTTATATCGCACTCTTTGCTGTTGAAGGTCATAGTTCCCACTCACAAGAAGCCTTTTAGGGAAGCTGAAATAGCAGAATGTAAAACTGAAAAATGGACGTTACCTATAAAGGGCACAGTCTGCAAGTTAAAATGAACAGTCTGTGCTAACAGTAAACCAGTATCATTATAAAACAAAAGGTTCTTGTAATTCTAGGCATTAAAATTGCTATTACATGCATTTAGAAACCAAGACACAAGTAAAAATACCAGTAATTTCTTTTTTAAGCAGCTGGAATCTATTGTATGCCTTCACCACCTTAGAAGATTACTCTTATGACTCTGTAGCTGTTTTGGTGGTAGGGTATCCTTCCTTTCAATATTTTATTTAAAAATGTAAATAGTATTTCATGTATGGAAAAGAAGTCCGCTGTTTTACCTTCAGAAAACATTTAATCTGAAATTATTAGAACAAATTAGTGATATTTCAGATTAATTACATTAATGGGAAAAAAACGTTGTTTACTTAGCCACATAATGAAAGTGACTAAAGTGCACACTTTCCTAGAGGAATTTAAGGCTTTTGAGATTTTATTTTGAATAATATCTCTGTATTCTAAGATTCAGATATTTATTTGTGAGATTTTTGTTTTTAAATCTGAATTTTGCACCTGTTGACAATAGGTTTATGAACCACATGAAACACCATTTGGAACTTGAGAAGCAGAGCAGTGAGAGCTGGGAAAACCACACCACCTGCCAGCACTGCTATCGCCAGTTTCCCACACCATTTCAACTGCAGTGTCACATTGAAAGTACACACACCCCCCATGAATTTTCTAGTAAGTTGCATTTTCACTTAAGTATTCGGTATTATTGATTTTGACAATAATAATTCTGAGAAAACCTTAAGCCTGTTAGAAAAATGAGAAAAACACTGCAATTTGAGGGCAAAATCAGAAGTTACATTTTAACTAATATAAACTTTTAAATAAAATTAGTTACACAATTAAATTCACTCTTGTAAATAACTAAGGTAAATAACCTATGCATTACATGTGTGGGGGCGGGGGCTAAATTAGGAGCCTCAGATCATAGTTTTCAAATGTGAAATCAGTGCACATTATCTAAACTTGAGTAAGAAAAGTAACTGTGATGGTAGTTAAAAAGCATAGATTTTGGAGCTAGACCACTTGGATTACAGCTCTGCCTCTTAGTACAGCTGTGTGATCTCAGGCAAGTTACTCTTAATATTTGAATAATGGGGATCTATGCTTCTTAATGTTGTTGTGGGAACTGAGTTAATGTAAGTAAAGTGGTTAGAACATAGTTAACTGTAAAACTAACTGTTCACCATCACCACCAATTCCAGTGTTGTTACTGGTCTTGTTTATAGATGCATAAAATGAATTTTATATATAAAATTTTGTTTGCCTTCAAGAGGATACTTTATTTCACAATTTTTAAAAAATTTCTAAAAAATTTGAAGTATAACTGACATATAACATTTTTGATTAGTTTCAGGTGTACAACATGATGATTCAATGTCTGTGTGTTTATATATCTAGAAATGATGTAATGTCTTTCTCCCTCACACTTTTAGCCATTTGCAAAATCTGTGAATTATCATTTGAAACAGAGCATATTCTCTTACAACATATGAAGGACAATCATAAACCCGGTGAGATGCCATATATTTGCCAGGTATATACATATTTTATTGTGTACTTAGTGTTTTTTTGGTTTCTTTCTTTTCCGTCATTTTGGTTACAAGATTTAAACCTATTAGGTCAAGAATCAGCAAGTTTTTTTTTTCTGTAAAGACAGTAAATGTTCAGGCTTTAAGGGTCATTACTGTCTCTGTTGCAATAAATCAACTCTGTCATTATAACACAAACTCAGCCATAGACAATAAATAAATTAATGAATTTGACTGTGTTTCAATAAAGATTTATTTATGGACACTGAAATTTGAATTTCATATAATTTTCATGTGTCATGAAATATATTTTTTATTTTTCTAACCATTTAGATAAAATTGGTTACTAAAATTAAAATTCCTCCTGTAAATAATTTATTAGTAAAAAGTCCTGTGATGTAATTCATGCAATGTATGTGGAATCAATGGAGAGCTGGAATTGGCTCACAAGCCATTGTTTACCCACTCCTATACTGGACAAAGAAAAGCCCTATGGGAAAAGACAAACATATGTATGGATTTATCTCACCATATAGGGAGGAATATAGATATACAAGAGAATATGAAATGATTTTAGATACAGAGGGCCCTACTAAATGCTTTGAGATTAGTATTTTTCCAGAATTTGAAGGAACAGAAAAACAAGGTAAAAATAAATTGCCATTGCTGTAGCTTGGAGACCATTTATAATCTAAAGGAGGATGCTATTGTATACAGCAGGGAAAACTTTATAGGATAAGAGGTGTCAGAGCTTAATGATTCAAGTCAGGATAGGAGGTGATAGTTCTAATAAAAAGAAGGGGATCTAGTTATATTTTGGGAAGTATTTCTAAACTTTGAAAGATAACTTTTCTGTCTCAGATTATCTTCCAGTGCTTGCATTATGAGATTCTTGGTTGTAGAGGCATCAGAGCTGAATTAGTAGTACATAATATTCTAAACAAATAACTTATTGTTACTTTGTAATTGTATATCATAAATTTTTTAGTTAAACTAAACATTCTTTTTATCTGTAGGTTTGCAATTATAGATCATCATCATTTTCTGATGTAGAAACTCATTTTAGAACATCCCATGAAAACACTAAGAACTTGCTATGTCCATTTTGCCTCAAAGTTATTAAAATTGCAACACCCTATATGCATCATTATATGAAGCATCAGGTGAGATTACCAGTTCTTATTTGTTCATGTTATTTCAGCAAAAAGATAGATTCTGACTTAGAGAAACATTGGTTAGATTTGTTCTATAATGGAAGCAACATTGTTCCAAATGACACTATCAATATGCAGTTTGTGCTGAGTTACAATACTTAATGAAACTTCCACTTTGCCTTGCTTTTTTTCTGGTGGTGGTATGGCTCATCAATGAAAATTCTGAAAGATAGCTAGAAATAGGAAACCTAGAGGTTGAAGGAAAAAAGGGAAGGTGGGTGGAATATCCAGAAGATCAGTTATTTCAGGGTGTAAGAATAGGTGTGGGGTTTTGAAGATAGGTAAATAGGAGTGAGGGAAAAGATGAATTTGAACTGAGAAGATTGGGGACTTAAAATCTGTTTTCCTCTTTCTCTTAGTACTTAATTCTACTTTCTAGCCCTTTTATTATGAGAAGACATGTTGTCATCATTGCTGTGGTAAAGGAAACTGTAATAATGCTTATCATTAAATATATGAACACTGCCCAAGAACTATATTTAGGTCATAACTTGTTTTGTGGATGACTTCTGTCAGTTAGTTCTGCTATGTAATTATTGGGACCTAGCATTAGTGCTTATACCCTGCTCTTGAATTCTTATTTTTTGCTCATTGGTTCTTTCCTGAAGCAATTAAAGCATCATTTGTTTGGCTTGAAATCTTTGAGGTAACACTGAATTTGTTCTTTAGTGCTTGAAAGAGCACCACTGCCTTTGCCAATCCCAGAAGTCAATGTATTTACTGAATCTGATCATGTAACCAAGTTTTGACACCTCACTAACCAGCTCATTACATTTTTTATTATTGATTAAATTGGCATGCCAATTTATTCAGCATCAGTTGCTCAATTTGCTTTCAGTTTCAGTCATTAAATAATAATAAAATTGGCTTGTGTTTTTCAATTGGGAAAGATCATAAAAGTAGAATTTCCAAATGAATTTAGAATCACCTAAGTTGTGACTGGGATGCTACCCATCCTTGAGATGTTTTGTCAGGGTCTTTCTGTTCTAGAGTTCCTCAACAGTGTTCCATTAGGTGTTAACAGATGTTTCCCCCCAGATTGTTACTGGTAAATAAATTTGGTAAATCCCTAGATTTATGAAATTAAACAGTTTTGTCTCTTTTTTTAATCACAGGACTCCTCAGAGCTTTTAATACGCTAATACATTATAATTCTTTAAGTAAGGGATGTAATTATGTATTATTCTCCAAACTTATTTGGCCACTGAATCTTTTATTTACAGAATACTTATTGATCTTTCTTGAAAAACAGAGTTTGGGAAACACTATTCTTGGTATCTATATTTCAACTTTGGCCTTTAATTTTGAAAGGGAAATGAGATATAAGACAGTTAATTCTATTTCATTATAGGGCTTTTCACATAACTTTTTCAATAGCTTTACTAACCTCCAGAGTAAGATGCAGATGTGGGAAGAACGATAGTTATGAAAGAAATGTGTGAGCCTATTATGTAGGCTATGTGATTTATAATAAGTTTTTATACTCTAAGAAAATTGGATGCCCGCTTGTCTTTTTTGTTTGTTTGGAGTACTTATCTGGTAGATAGCCAGTAGTAGAGAAAGGGCAATCTGTTAATATGAAGGATCATAAGGCACCCTTAAAGTAACTACAATTTATATAACTGTTTACAAAGGATTGGACAAACCTTAGCTGAGCAGGGCTATAAGCTTGTAATTGAGATAACACATTATTAGTGTGATATTAGACAGTAAGAATTATTGACTCTATGGCTTATTTTATTGTCATAGAAGATTTGGGTTGTAACTTTTCGTTAAGACGTCCTATTAAGACTTGGGTGATTTTAGAGCTAACAACCTAGTTTGTATGACTTTTAAGGATAGTGAAAGTGATTTAGGATGTGTTCAATATGCTCATTAAATCTTTAATAAAAACAAGCAGTTAAGATATATAATCACTTTTGGCGGAAATAGGTACTTTTCATACATTATCTTGTTTAATCCTTAGAATCACCCTGTGTATCTTATTATTTCCTTATAGATAAGGAAACAAAGTTTTAGAGAAAATGTCTTGCCCAGGGTCACATTACCTAATAAAAAGCAGAGTTAAATTTTGACTTCAGAACCTAGCCTCTTGCTCTACCACAGAGTCAGATTTCACATTTGGTATTAAGTCTATAAGGGCAGAAATTACATATAATCAGAATTATTCTTAAGTCCCACAAGTCTCCCAGACAATGTAATATGCTTGTCAAAAAGTTGAACATAGACCTTTATTTATCTACCCTTGAAATAATCACTGTTTCTTTTTTTTTTGAACATCACATCATTAAAATATGTACTGTATCTTTATCAGCTGTAGCACATTGAATTGCATACATACATGAGAGATATTTAAGACTTGTCTCCAACTAAGGGAATAATAGATTAATGTATTCTATCTCAGGATTTTGGACAAATGTTCACTGAATGGAATGTCAGACATTTTGAATTTGTTAAATTGTATCTGCTGCTCATATGCATTTTCTCTGTCAGTCTCTTGCTTCCTGCCTCACTGTCCATTTATTTAACAGATGTTTATCAGTTGCTTTACTGTGTGCCAGGAGCCATTTTAAGTATTTTATACCAATGAACAAGGCACAGTTTGCACCCCCTGGAATTTGGATTATAGTGAGATTATAGGAAAGATAATACTTGTGTGTTTATATTTGAAGGTATACGCATGCTAGCTGTTGATAGGTACTTGGGAAGGCAACATGGTGGATAGGGAGTGTGAAGGTGCTGGGAGTGGAGGAGAAGTTGCTGTTTTGTATAGAGAGTGGTCAAATAGAGGCCTCTTTGAAGGAAATAAAAGAAGTAAGCCACGTGGAAATCTAGGAGAGGTAACATTATCTAAACAGTGACATGAGTGTATACCTAGGACACTCAGAACAACAAAAGAGGCCAGTTGTGGCTAGAGCAGACTAAACTAATAAAAGGACCAGTAGGAGATAAGATTGTAGCAGTAAAATGCAGGCCAGTTCATGTAGAACCTTGTAAACCAGAATCAGGACTTTAGAAAGCCCTCAGAGGATTATAAGCACATGAAAGATCTGCCATGTTTTAATATCATTGGCAACTATAGGAAGAGTAGACTATAGGGAGGAAAGAACATGAGAAGATAGGAAGTTATTGTAGTAGCCTAGGTGAGTGGCTTGGACCAATATGGTATCAGTGGTTGAGGTAATGAAAAATGGAGAGATTATGACAGTTTTGAAGGTGAAGCTAACAGGTGTTGTTAATCACTTTGGTTTGGGATGTGAGTGAAAGTGACCAAGTTTTTGTCCAAAGAATGGAGTTTTGATAACACTGTCGAGAATGGAGTTTTCATATACTGCCTGTCATATGGGGAAGACTGAGGAAAGAACAAATTTGGGGGACAGGGATATAGGAAGGAAATCTAGAATTCAGTTTTGTCCATGTTGATTTGAGGTGTTTATTAGACATCAAGTAACGATGTCAAGTAAGCAGTTGGATGGATGGTATTAAAGCCATGAAACTGGATGAGATAACCTATAGAGAGAGAAAAGATTTCTGAGAACTGGGTTCTGGAGAACTTTCTTTCTGATATGTTGTCTTGGTATCTGTTTCATGGCCAAGTTTTCTTTTTTACCTCTTCTTCCTTGAGCCAAATGTAAGTGAATTTCATCAAGTTGCCTACACCTATTGTATATATAATCCAATGCACCACACTTTTAAAATAGTCTTAATATGCAGCTTGAATAATAATACAAACACATTCTATTTATACTCGTATGTTGCTTTGAACTTTTTAAAGAACTTATGAAATGCTTACTGTGTACCAGTAATTGTGCTAGGTGCTTCTTGGTATATTACTTAATTTGAATTTTATAAATGATTAGTTATATTTAAATAGTAACAGTGATTTATCTGGCAGATTGCAACTTCAGAGAAAACATTCTTTTGTATTTTGTTTGTTTATATGTATGTATCCATGTACATATATAATTTTATGTACATATACACAATTTTTAAATTAATGAGAGCATATAGGTATAGATTATAGCTGATATTATATAGTAGAAAGAACACAGGATTGGGAAGCTGACACTGTTACTAACTAGCTATGGGGAAATGATTTAGATTTTTCTTGGGTCCTGTTTCCTGTCTATGGGATAACGGCAGGATTGGGTTTGAGGAGGGACTCAGTCAAAGTTCTCAATCAGTAAGTATATTGGGAATAATTGTTTTGATTTATCCCTCTATATTCACACTGTTCAGCATAGTAGCCATTAACCATGTGTGACTTTAAAATTAAATAAATTAAAAATTCAGTTCTTGCACTGGTTAGTGTGGCTCAGTGGATTGAGCACCAGCCTGCAAACGAAAGGGTTGCTGGTTCAGTTCCCAGTCAGGGCACATGCCTGGGTTGCAGACCAGGTCCCCTGTTGGGGGTGTGCAAGAGGCAGCCACACATTGATATTTTTCTTCTGCTCCTCCTTCCTTCTGTTCTCTCTAAAAAATAAATAAATAAAATCTTTTTTTAAAAAATTCGTTTCCTCAGATATACTTGACACATTTCAGATACTCAGTAACCACCTGTGGCTAATGACTACTATATTGGACAGTATGGTTCTAGAATATTTTCATCAGTGCAAAAATTTTATTAGGCAGCACTGCTTTATATAACCCTTTTTTCTTTCTTTTTAATATAACCATTTTTATAACAACTTTCTTTGAAATGTCCCATTAAATATTTGAATTTCCTTTACCAACTTTAAACCAATTGGTGAGAGCAAAATTAAAAAGAATTTACTTTTTTTCTATGATAAAAACAGGTAGCATAGCTTATTTTCAAAGTATCTTGTGTCTAAACATTTTAAAATTATAATTAAAGGAACCTTCCTACCACTATTAAGAGAATTTTGATTAGAACCTATTGCTACAACTTTTAATGTTCAAGAAATACTGATTTCTGTATAGTAGCAGACATTTTTTGAAACCCAAATACTAGTGCAAAGAGTGCTTTAGAAATGAAATAATAGTTTGCTAATACTTAGGATGTGAGATATAAAGTACTATTTTAAGAATTGTTTAGGTTGCATTCAAATTAAGCCAGAGCAGTTTTAGGACACAGGATTTGTGGTTGTAGAAAATTATTTTTCTGTTTCCTAAACAGAAAAAAGGAATACATCGTTGTACAAAATGCAGACTGCAATTTTTGACATGCAAAGAGAAAATGGATCACAAGACTCAGCATCATCGAACATTTATAAAACCTAAACAGCTAGAAGGATTACCTCCTGGAACAAAAGTGAGTTCAAATATGTTACATTTTATCATTTGGTGTGATAATAGAAATAATCTTCTGCCTGATTTTATCTCCTGAATATAATACTTTAAAACATGATTTCTGATTTTTATTAAGACTCTAATTGCAAGTTTTATCAGTTTTATGTTTAGAAAAAAATCTAACTATCCTTTTTTTGGTTGGCAGTTTGTGCTATGCTAGAATGATGCTCCTTTGTAAAGAGTGCAACTAGATGTTGTGTTCCCTGGACGAATGGGTTGTGTCGATATTATATAATCCTTTTTTGAAGTGTTCTTGGCAGTGTCTGTATCAAGGTTATCTGCTAAGGTATTTGAAATCAGGAATCATGGCTTATTTATCTTTGTGTCCTCAGCATCTGGTGTAATGTTTTGAATGCCATAGCTTCTTAGGTGTTTATTGAAGTTGTTATTGCTGAGTCTACTCTCAGAGAAACGAATTCTGCTGCTGGATAGCATTTGTGTATTAAGTGAGCAAACACATGTCTGACTACATAGTGATGATTGTAATTTACCCTCTGTTTTTTCTGACTTCTTTATATACAGTCAGCTCTTGAATATTTGTTCCAGTGGAGGGAAACAGAGGCATGGATAATCCAAAGTGAAATAATCCCCAAAACATTTATATTTGGCTTTGGGTACTTACCTTTGAATGTGGGTATGTCTGTTATTTGAATTAACTAAACAATATAAAGCAATGCTCTGAAGACCTAGAGCAAGAGAAGCTATCCAGCATCCTTCCCTGCAACCCATTCATTCCATGCTGGGACTAGACATGCATAACACGAATGTAAGCAGTGCAGCCCTCTCTCATATTTTCCTTTATTAATTATAATAGCAATAATATTAATAATGATGATACTAAGTGTTTTTTATAGCACCTTAGAATTAGGCCTTCAGTATATTTTTTCTTAGGTACTATTATTTCATTCATACAGCAATTTGGTGAGTCAGACAAGGCAGATAGTGTCTCATACTATAGATAAAGAAGCTTAGAGAGGATAACTTATTCTAGGCCACATGGCTAGGAACAGTAGTATGCGATTTAACCTCAAGTCTTTTGATTCCTACTCCAGTGCTTTTGTATGATACCAAAACATGTTTTATAGGACTTCCTATAAGTTGTTTCTAATATACATGGGGGGAGGATAGTCATATGATTAACAGGAAATGGTGGTAGCCATTTGTGTTTTCCATTGTTAACCAATTAATATAATTTTTGAATACTAAATTGTAAACTTTATGTTAATTCTCTTTAAGGAAATTCTAAATATTATTAAATTCTCCATGAAGTATATTGAATTGATGTAACCTCTCCCATAACCTTTGTAAATATAAATTCTGCCAAATGAATTACCTGGAAAGAGGAGATCACATTTACTGTGGGTAATGCAGGGCAAAGGGTAATGTAGGCCTTTCTAGCGTTATTTTTTGGGATTTGAGATCTAACTTTTGACCTCTATGTGATATTTTTAGTTATATCAGGACATAGAAGTAGCTATGGAATATGCTCTTTATTATTCATATAATTCCTAATTACCCATTAATAACAACATATAACTGATTTTAATACAAATATATATTACAAGTAAGTAAATATCACATTTAATTTTATTTAAACATTTAAAAGAAATGGAATACTTATCCAATTATATTTATACTTACTCTTTTCAGAATACTTGATATTTAACTTATTGTTATATGGTAATATTTTAATACTAATGCAAGGATTAATTTTCTAAAGTAAATATTATCTTTACTTGTAGGTTACTATTCGAGCTTCAGTTGGACCTCTTCAGTCAGGATCTTCAGCTACACCTTCTATTAGTGCAAACACTTCTACCCTTCAGGTCTCACCTCCAAGGACAAAAAGTGTAACTGCTAAAAATCCCACAAAATCTAACACAAGTAAACTTAATACAACTAAATCTAATGCAAGTAAACCTAACTCAAGTAAGCCTAATGGAAGTAAATCTAAATTGAAATCAAAAATCTCTAATGTGCAAAAAAAACAAAGCACTTTGGCTAGTAGCAATAGAAAAAGTAAAGTCAATACAGCTTTGAGGAACTTAAGGTAATCTTTTATTCCTGATATATAATACTAATATCTTAAATATAAGAATTAAACTTTTATTTAATATAAGTATATTCCATTATACAACTCTTTCATATATTTATATGCTATCATGATAAATGCTAAGCAATAAAAGTTTTTTTCTTTTTACTACTGCTGTTGAACACTACTTACTTACCATGTTTTTCCTTTAATATTCATGTATTACACTGATATTATTATATGTTGTGCTTATTATATCTTATGGCATTTGAATTGGTTAATTTTATTCCAGTGATAAGCATTAATTATTGTGGGATTGTTTATACTTAGTCTAGCTGTTGTTTCATAGCAAATTTTTTAAAGATTTTTAAATTTATTTTTAGAGAGAGAGGGAGAGAGGGAGGAAAAGAAACATCAATGTGTGGTTGCCTCTCACGCGCCTCCTACGGGGCACCCGGCCTGCAACCCAGGCATGTGCCCTGCCTGGGAATCAAACCAGGGATTCTTTGGTTCACAGGCCTGCGCTCAGCCCATTGATCCACACCAGCCAGGGCTGTTCATAGCAAATTTTAAATTTATAAGTCTTTGTTTACATACGTGAATTTTAACAATTTGACTTTAATTAACAGAACTTTAATAAGGCTTTCCTTTATTATTTTTGTTTTAAAATATATTTTTATCATTTTCTTTTTTTTTTATCTCCATAAGGTATCGTCGGGGAGTTCACAAGTGCATTGAGTGTTGTTCTGAAATAAAAGATTTTGCAAACCACTTTCCTACATATGTCCATTGTAGTTTCTGCAGATATAACACTAGCTGTAGCAAAGCCTATGTAAATCATATGATGAGGTAAGATGAGTTAAACATTTGTAATTGTCAATTGAATTATAATCCAGCAAGTTTGGTTTTTGAAAACAGTTATTCTATTAGAAACCAATTTTTTTTCTCAAGGAACTAAAAACATCTAGCAATAGAGAATTTCTAGGATAATGCTGGTTACTATTTTCCAGCAAAGTAACTCATATAATTACTGTAACTAGAATTATAAGAGCATTTAGACTAAAGAAATTAGAATAGGTCTGATAGGGAAATAGATTTCCTATGGGAATTATTTTTCCTATGGAATTTTCAAAATTGGTTATTTTTAAAGATAAGAATTTAAATGATTTACATATATTCACCAAACAAATACATGCAATCTCATGAGTATTATTCTCTTCAAAGCAGTCACTTTGAGAGACTCTGAGATTTTCAGTGGTGCTAGGAACTTATTTTGAGTCTTTTTCTCCCTCTCTCTTTCCATCTGTCTATCAAGCTCTTTATCCTTCCATTTAGTCAATAAAATGACAGACTATTCTTTTTAAAATGCCATTGGTGAAATATGTTTCATTAATTCACTCAGCTTAGATTATTTGAGTGCCTAGTATTGACTCTATGCAGAGAAAGCCTTCACTGCCCACTTTACTTTCATTTGTACCTGATTAGTAGAAGCATCTTTCAGGGTGGATTTCTAATTTTAAAAAATAAATAGTAAAAATGTCATTTAGATATAAACTGGGTTGATTATTCAGAGTGAGGTGGTTTCATTAGTTTTAAAAGTAGAATTAAAGTTTAATAAAAGTGATTTTCTTGTGGATCATAACATGACCTTTTTGTTACTTTCTGGTTATCAGCTACTCCTTTCAAGGATTCTCCCACTCTTCTTTTTTTATGTATTATTATTATTTTTAATTTAGATTATTTTATTGTTGTTCAATTACAGTTGTCTGTATTTTCTTGCCTCCCCCTTGGTTTTGTCCATGTGTCCTTTATAGTAGTTCCTGAAAACCCTTCTCCCACTTTTCTTGATGGCTTCAGTACCTCTTCCACAATTTTCCCACCTTGATTTAGTGTAACTTATGGTACCCTGACTTCTTTTATGCCCACATTTCACATTAACTTTTAAGCTATTGTACCCTCTTTCTTACTGTGTACCATTTTCATCTTACCATATACACTGTTTCTTTCTTTTGAATTCCTACTTCCTATTACTTTCAGGGCTGTGACTTTTTTCTAAAGTCCAGCAATACTTGTCTAGCTTTATAGTCAACCTCACCCTCAGGGTCATCTATTTGGATTGCTGCATTGTTGTTGTTGTTTGTTATAGTTATAGAATCTGTCACCTTTAGTCATGTTCACCAGGCACAAAGGCTTCCTCTTCCAAACTTTATGCTCAGCTCTAGGCTACCAAAACGGTACTTGATTCAATCAACTCTCACTTTAACTTTGTGATTTTTAACTTCAGTTGGGTTATACCTCTTTATGTACAGAACCTATTTAAACCTTCTTCAGTATGCTAAAGGTTTTATTGTATTTTAATATTAGTTGTTAATGTGGTCTACAAACTATTCAGTAGAAGGTCATCCTTTTAATCAGTCCCTTCAACATCAATATTTTTCCTGTTACCTTCATCCACACATTGATCTTAGAAGTCAGTGATGCTCCACTCAAAGTTAACTCTTTCTCTTTTCTTCTCTGGTTCTTCCACAAACTTATTCAGTTAACTTGCTGCTTCATCTCTCCTCTCAACCAGGTTTCTTTTGCTTACAAACATTTTCAGGCATTTTTTTTAAGATGAAGGAGATTTGTCCCTACTACCTACATTTTTTATTTCTTGTCGTTTTCTTATCATTTTACATTTGTAAGAAGTTTGTTACTAGCTTATTTGTGATTTATTTCTTTACTCATAAATTTGAGTGTCATCCCCACCTGCCAACAAACCCCTACCACTTTAAAGATTATCTGTCAAGTACTTATGTACCACACTTACTCATTTTTTAAAATTCTTACTACTTCATGACTTCAGAGTTTTGATATTGTTGTCACTCACTTTTGAAACTGTTCTCCTCAGCTTCTGTTGAACTGTTACCACAATTTTTCTTCCCTTTTGAGTGCTCCTCGGTTTCATTGCCTTTTCTTCCTTCAACATTTCTTGCCTCTTTACATTTTCTTTGCTGGTAACTTAACCTCAAAAGGTACACTTTTACCTTTCAGAGAGAGAGAGAGAGATTTGTTGTTCCACTTATCTAGGCATTCATTGGTTGATTCTTGTATGTGCCCAGACTGGGGATCAAACCTGCCAACCTGGCATATGGGGACAACATTCTAACCAACTGAGCTACCCAGCCAGGGCACCATTTATTTATTAATTACCTTTATGATTTGGGCAAGTTGCTTGACTCCCAGTTTCCTTTTTTTAAAAAGAAAGTTACTGTGATTATTCCAGAAAATTTTAAATTAAAGTGATTAATAATATGATTTGCACTTAGGAGGCATTCAAGTAATTATATCTATTATTTTTTTCTAAGCTGTCAATATTAGGTATTGTGGATAAAGTCCTTGCCTTTGATTTTCACAATTTAGTAGGAAAGATATATTTACCTAGCTTAATGTTATAAACCATGAGAATGACCATGAGAATATAGAGGAGGTTAAAATGAATTCTTTAAAGAAGAAGTAAGAGAAGGTGTCCTATAAATAATATTTCATTTAGGTTTACAAGGGTGACTTTTAAAATTTCCAAGGAAAAAATTGTTTGTATAATTATTCCTATAAAATAAATAAGACAGAGTACTGAATTTTTAAAGATATGCTTGAGTTTATTATATATTTTATGTAGATTGGTTGGCTCTAAATAATAATCACTAGGACAGTTGGCTAATTGTGATAGCATCCTAGCTGGTCTCCTGTACTCCCCACCTACCCGCCTTTTTCCAGTCTTTCTTATGTTGCTTGAGTAGGCATATTCTGTAAGGTCACTTTTTTTGGCCTAACACCCTTTGCCTTCCTGATTTTAATAGGATGAGGTTCAAATTTTCTAAGAATGTAAAACTTTTAATATCTAGTTTCTAACTACTTTTTCAGCCCCTTTAACTCCTATTTTCTTGAAAATTCCTCTCTCAGCCTCTTTGCAGCAAGGCAGTAGGGACCTTCTTAACTGAAATGAACTAAATGGTAGCTTGCTTCTTCTGTACTTGAAAGTACAGAACTTGTTATGTGTCACTATTGGTGTTTAGCTTGTGATAATTATTTATGAATATGTATTCACTCGTTTAACAAATATTTATTAGGCATTTATTTTGTGCCAGCTTCTGTTTGACTCCTTCCATCCCCACACAGTTCAAGTCTGAACTCTAAAGCAGACAGTTTGCCTTCTTTCCTATTGTATTGGGTTGGCTAAAAAGTTATTTTTTTTCCATAAACTAAAAGACATATTTTTCATTTTCACCAGTAAATGTACTGATTTGGATATTTTAAGTATGTTCGCTATCTCCCATGTGGTATAATGTTGATTATTCTCAATTAATGTCTAGATTTTATTGCTATGAACTTCCACTGGTCTACCTGTGGAGCATCGTCCAGTGAGAGATCTCCATCATGAAACTTCGCAAACCACTTTTGACACATTTGATCAGTCACAGCACCTTCTCTATACGCACTGCACAATTTTTTTTTGCATTTCAATTGCGTGTTTACCTTTCTTGAAATAATAAAGCATAATATGCAAAACGTGTATTTTCTTCCATCTTCAATGTTAAAATGGCTACACAAAAATTCACCAATTTTGGTAAGATTTTTGTCCATCAGGTATCATGATAAAATCTTACAGAATTGTTTCAAATGAAGTTAAAGACAAAGTGCTAATAGAGCCATCTTGCAGAAAAAACCAAATGAACTTTTTGGAAACCCAGTATCATTAGCCTCTAGACTAGTGTCTTTAAATATAGTAGGTATACCATCTATGTTGTTGGATATTTAGGAAGTTTTTCCCTTTGTATTTCTTTGGAAGTAAAATTCTTACACTGAATAAAAGCATCATTAAGAAAATACAAAAGGAGTTTTTTCCCTGTAGTCTTATTGAGGTATAATTTATACACAATAAAATTTACGTGTTCTTAGGGAAGAGCTTAATGAATTTGGGTAATTACATAGTCGTATAACCAGGTGGAGAATTTTTAAAACCTAGATTTTAATGTTATGTTTTCACTATGTTGTAATTAAAATCCTAACCTTTTCCTTCTTTTCTTTAAATTTATTCCTATATTGTTAACTTCATCTAGAGCTATTTGGAAGAAGGGTAGTTTTTATTTGTTAGCAAGAGATTCATTCTTAAAATACAGAAAACTGTAAGTGTGCAATTTCTGTATAAATACAAATCAAGAAGCTGTATAAGTTTGTTTTTTTATCCTCACCTGAGGATATGTTTATTGATTTTAGATAGGGAGTTGGGGAGAGAGAAACATGAGTTGGTTGCCTCCTGTATGTGCTTCAGCCAGGTCTGGAACCACAACCTAGGCACATGCCCTGTCAGAATCGAACCTGCAACCTTTTGGTGTATGGGACGACGTTCCAACCAACTCAGCCACCTGGCCAGGGCTAAGTCTTTTTTAATAGATAGAGAACTTGATTAAAACTGGGTTCAGATGATTGAAATTTTAAAAGTACCAATGTTTTAATAAGGTACAAGTTACAGACAGAAATGGAAGATATCATAAAGGCCCCAAAGTATAAGTTTTTCCCTTCTATTCTCTTACTAAATAGATATATGAACCAAAACAGTCTGAGTTTAAGAAAAGAAATAGGGTTATTTTTTTAATAACTTAGTTTGGTTCACATTCTTCAGCAGTCATAAAATTCGGGACTCATTCCTCTGAGGAAACAGTTGTGTGCTTAAATTTTTGCATATAATTTTAATGTTTACCAGCCCTGTGATGTTTTCTTTTAAAAATACTATTTAATTATTTTTGTGGCAATGTCTTGAATTTATAAGCTCTTGAATAGAAGTTATCCCCTGATTGAAGAAACGACTATTAGAAATTTTCCGAGGATATTTTCTGGGGATTATATTCAGTTATTTCTTTTCTCATACATACATGCTGTGCTGTTGATAGTTACCTTATATCTGAGAGTGACCTGGTTAGTTGGCTACTCTGGGACTGAGGGTGTTTTGTATGCAATCTAGGGCTACTGCTTCTCAAATTTTTGCTTGCATAAGAATTACTGAAAAGGCTTGTTAAAAGACATTTCTGGGCCCCACTGCCAGAGATTGGTTCAGTAGGATTGAGGGAGGGAGGACACAAGATTTTGCTTTTCTAATTGAGCTCCCAGGTGATGCTGATTTTAAATCCATGGCTCCACTTTTATATTGTGTTAGACTAATGCTGTCTTTGTAGTGTAGGGAAATATTCCTTACCAGATTTAAAAGGCTTTATAAAAGCTGTAACTGGTTACAAAGCTCAATTAGTGGTTCTGCTTTATTTTTTTAAATTACCTCTACTAGTAATTGCAGAGAACTCTCTAAATGTTTGATTTTATAGATGGTAAGCAGTGGCATTTAGCTGAGTACTATTTACTTCTAAAATCATTTAGATTCTATCCCTCTTCCCCCACATGAGCACATTAAGATTGGAAAATGATTTAAAAAATACTGATTGTCCTTTTTTTTATCCTCACCTGAGGATATGTTTTTATTGATTTGAGAGAGAGAGGAAAGGTGAGAGAAAAACAGCTGTCAGTTGCCTCCTGTATGCACTCCAACCAAGGATGCAACCTGCAACCTAGGTATGTGCCCTGACCTAGAATCAAACCCGAAACCTTTTTGGTATACGGGATGATGCTCCAACCAACTGAGCCATCCTGCCAGGGCATAATGATTATTCTTGACAGTTGTTCATATTATAACAAAAATATTAGCAAAAAAATTAAAATTGTTTTCAACTCTTAAATACTAAATTAATTTGTGCTTTATTTTCTAATAAAACTATTTCCTTTTATGCAACAATGAAATTACTGTTAATATAAGCATATGCTTAGGCAAATTGTGTCATTAGAAAATAAATAGGTAAAATAGAATATAAAATAAAATATTGAATTACACAGGGATGACACATTTAATTTGCATCATGATCTTTTAATCATAACTAGAAACTTCAGTATGGACTTGAAATACAGCTATAAATTAGTATGACTATTGTAGAATACAATTAATAGAATCTGTTTTGTCTCTCCAGCTTTCACAGTAACCGTCCAAGTAAAAGGTTTTGTATTTTTAAGAAGCATTCAGAAAATCTCAGGTAATTAATTGATTTTTTTAAGTCTTTCTGTTGAAAAATGGTATGACTTAAATTTTTAAATAATCCTTAATGAGATGTAGTCCATATACCATGCAGTTCACACACTTAAATTGTACAGTTGATAGTTTTTAGTATTTCACTGAGTTGTGCAGGCACCACCACAGTTAAAATCAGTACATTTTCATCAGTCCAAAAAGAAACTTGTACCCATTTGGTCATCCCCATTTCCTTCCAACTCCTCCATCCCTAAGTAACCACTAATCTTCTGTTTGTATAGGTTTGCCTATTCTGGACATTTCATCTAAATAGAATTATGTAATATGTGATTCTTTGTAATTGGCTTCATCTGTTTAGTATGTTTTCCACTTTATCTGTGTTGTAGCATATATCACTACTTCATTTTTTGTTGCTAAATAATAATCTGTTGTATGGCTATACCATAGTTTTTTTTTATCCATTAGGTTATTTTAATTTTGAGGCCATTATAAATAATGCAGCTGTGAACATTTCTGTACAAGTTTTTGTCCAAGCGTGTCTTATATGTTAACTGTGCTGAGTGTTTGAGAATCTTCCAGGCTGTTTTACAAAGTACCTCAACTATTTTATATTTTTACTGGCAGTTCCTCCACACCTTTGCCTACATTTGTTATCTCTGTTTGATTATAGCTACCCTAGTAGGTGTGAAGTGGTAACTCACTGTGGTCTGTTATAACTTTTTTTTTAACCTGATGTTGGGGTGTCCCATTTGGAAATCTAAGTGATTGCTACTGGATGTTATATATTGATAGTTTCATTCATTGTATCCTTAGATTACTGGTATGACTAGCCTATATTCTCTTGCTGAATTTGTTTCAGTGGTACAAAGTGATGTCAATATGAAATCATCATGCATTTAGGCTGTAAAATGAGAACAAAAATTTAAAATTGTGTCCTTTCCCCTGTACTTCACTCCAGCACTCCCTTTCTCCTTTCATTTGCTTAATTTTTCTCTAGATCATCTTTCCTCATCTGATATACTGTATACTTTACTTTTTTTGTTTATTTTCTGTGTCCTCCTACTAGAATGTGTGTGGTGTGGATTTTTGTCTACATCAAACATTGATTAGTGCACTCAGTAAATATTTGTTGAATAAATTAAATTAAAGTATGTGTTGAAAATCATTTATGTGGACAGTAGGTCCCATCTATGATGTTGGACCAGTAGGTCACAGGGAAATAAAATTTGATTGACTTTAGAAAGTATTTTAGGGCTAGTTTTAAAATGTTTACTGAATTCAGTGAAATGGAGTAAACTATTAGATGTTGCCTTTATTTAAAAGTTTTAGAAAAATTAAAATAGTCTTACATTCAAAAGATAAGATTTTAGTTTGACTTTTTTGGAGGGGTGATTTTTATCTCTCTGTTGTCAAGCTTAACTGTTCTGTTTTAAAGTGAGTTACATTATTTTAAGGATCTGAGGTTTTTCTCAATTTGAATACATATTAAGTTAAAAATTGGTCAATTCTGTGAATGGAATATAGCATACTTACAATTGTATAGAACAGTGGTTCTTGTAATTCTTTATTGAAAAGGAATATTCATTATTTAGCTCAGTGTTATGCATCTGTCATGTACATAGTGTACAACTCCTGTAGAGATGAAAGTGGTGAAGTCTTAGAACCAATCTTCAGGTAATGTACACTTCATTGTGTGGGAGATATAGGTGAACTTAAATAACTAATAATGCAAGGAAGATTTTAATAAGTGCAACAGGGGTTATTTATTTCAAAGGGAGAGATTACTTGGAATAATCCGGATAGGTGTTGTACTTAGCTTTAAAGCATGAATATTGTTTATACCGATTGATAGAAGAGGCACAGCAACTTCTATCAGCAGCTTTCAAGTTGGAAGAAATAGCACGAATAAAGGTACAGAAATGAAAAAGTGAAAGGCACACAGATTTAAATAGCTAGTAGTAAATGAGTGGAGCGTGGAGTTTATATAGTAAGTTTGAAGTCTGGGGCAATAGTTTTGAGCTTAGAGATGAAAATAATAAGGCTAAGGAGTTTAGGCTTAATTTGGAGGGCACTGGAGAACCTTGGATGTTTTATATTAAATCAGGTGATACAGAAGGAAGGTTGAATTGAAGATATCCTTCCTCTCACCTTCGACAGTAGGGTGAGTTACAGATGCGTGAATTTCAAAAGTATAAAAAAGTAAAAGTATCCTTTGTTAAATTGACAGTAATAGTGATGGCATTACATGATTTTTTTAACCTAAGGAAAAACAATATTTTAGCAGGATTTTAAAGAATCTTATGGACCTGTAAAAGCAGGAGGTACAGCCAGAACAAACAAGGGAAACAGAAAACCATTAGTTACTGACATGGCTTCTCTCTAGTCTAACCTGCTAAAAGCAGGATGATCTTATCTTTATTATATACTCTAGACTTGGGTTCCATTTTCCTTTCTCTGTGCCCACCAGCATTCTCTGTTGATGACCCAAATATAGTATTCCAGCCTTCTACATTTTTCCAGATTAAGAAATTTTATTATAAATCCCAGTTACAAATCCCTGTTTAGAAAAGGCTTGATTTGGGCATTCTACCCCTGTCCAATTAACTATATCCAGTAGAACAGGCATTTAGCCCCTACTTACCATTAAGACCACTTTGAGTGTCTGCGAGGGCAGTTTGTTAATGGATAAGATTATGTAGTTAATCATTAAAGTTACGTATTTATGTCTTAATTTTCCTTAAGTTTTTTAGTTTAACTTAAAAGTATTTCATTTAGAAATCAAGTACATTTCAATCACTTTTGATGAGGGCCTTTAATTAATGTTTGATAAAGTTTATTTAAGTTGATAGACTAAGGTTTTTAAACAGTCTTATTTGCAATTCAGTTTCCTTTAAACAACTTAACATCATTTTTACATTTAACATATATATTTTTACTTTTAAACAGCACTTCACATGCTTTACCCAACAAGTTCCCAAGTTTTTCACTCTTACAAATATAATAAATTAAACAGATAGTGGCTTTCTAAGTTTTCTGAAACATTTACATACTATTGCAGGCTTAATATTTTAAAATATCTTTCAACTAAAAATCAAAGTTTTAAACACATTTAATGAGAATCTTAAGGCCAGTGTTACATACTAGAATATGCCATTTATGTTTAAATATTTCAAATAGCAAATGCTACATAGTTTCATCTAATGAGTATAAAAACTATTCCTAAATGCAAAAAAAAATGTTTCCTAGGCTTTTTGAAAATTTATAATCATTACATATTTCATTTAAGAAGTACAGCACTCAGTGTTTGGTGAGGAAACAAGTAGTTCAGGCTCCAGCAAGTGGGCCAGTGTACAATGCAGGGATGCTGAGGAACTCAAGTGTTGGACTTTATAGTGAATTAACTACTTTAATTAATTCACTGTTAAATGAGAATAATAACACCTTGGGTAGTTATGAGAATCAAACAAAATAATAGATAGAAAACTTTTAACACATAGTACATAATGATGGCTACATCATGATCTGTATATTTTAAGCCTTAATATTTCTGTTGTAATTTTTTTCTCACCTAAGTAAAACACTAGATGTAAGCTTTGTTAGAGCACAGACTTTTTTATTTTTCATTTGTATTCACAGTATAGTACAATACTAGCATAGTGTGTATAAGGATAGTCTTAGTAAATATATATTGAGTGAGTGAATACTATTGCTTTACATTGCAGATGGGCAGATGCACAGGTGGATTGTGACTGGTTGAAGTGACACAAGTTGTTGGTGGAAACAACACTGGGCTGTAGGTCTCTTGACTCCCAGCTTTTAGCAAATGGTCTGAGAAGTAAAAGTTGATAAAATAAAGAATAGTTTCTGTAAATAAATGTTAGCATAATTTGAATATGGCTATGTTGTTTTCTAGAGAATCAATTTTATTATACCAAGTTTATATAACAAAAATAGGATTGACAGTTTGACACAAAAAAGCAAATTATAGAAAAATAACTATTGAACTTACATAGATTTTCATAAAAGATAAAAAAACCTTTTTCTTTTATACTGTTTGCTTTTTTTTTTAATAGGGGCATTACTCTAGTGTGCCTTAATTGTGATTTCCTAGCTGATGTTTCTGGCTTAGATAATATGGCTACGCACTTGAGTCAGCATGAAACTCATACTTGCCAAGTTGTAGTAGAGAAAGGTACGTGTATATATAATTGTGTTACTTTGGTTTTTGATATTTATTTCAATATTTTTGGTCAGTCACAATATGGGTTCTGTATGAAATCATTATTCTCATCATATTTCATATACTGTTTTAAATATAAAACTTTTTTTCTAATTTCAGTTTCTGTTTGTATCCCAACTTCTGCACATCTTTCTGAGTAAGTTTAATTTTTATTCAGTGCATTTTACTTTGATGGACTTTAGGACTACTGCATTTTGAAATGTATCATTAATAGAAATGAAAAAATATTAAAGTATTTTGTTTTGTTTTTTTTTAAAGCTGCTTGTTGAAATAGGTTCCTGCTCTATGGAGCTCGTGACCTGGTTCAAGACAAGTTGGAATTTCCTAAGTTCAAAGTTCTGAGATGTTTTCTTACACAAAGGCAGTTAAGCAGCCAAGTTCATGACACTAGCTCTCATTATTCAGCTTTTTTCAGCTTCAAATGGGACTAGATTCTTATTCCACCTTATCTTTGTGTCAGGTTGACATATCTTAACATATGTTGTTTTCTCCAGTTGGCTTTTTCCAAAATAACTTTTGTTGCTGTAGTCATTTCTTACTTTGCTTAAAATAATTTGTTTTTCACTGCTGTACTTGCCTTTAGAATAATACATTCCAAATGATATGGCTGTTTGTCTTTTTTCTGTTTTGTCTGCTTTCTTAATTTCTTATAAGTGTTTAGGCCCAATGATTGTCTTTTTCTTCATTTGCTGTCTGTCATTGTGCTATTTTTCTTATTTTTCAGATGCAGAAGCAGCCCAGAGATTTCAAAAAATGTCCAGGGTACACCTGGACAGTGTCCCCCTTCGATGGACACAACTGATGCCTGTTCTCTCTTTCCAAGGAATGTGAATAATTTCACAGTGGGACCTGCTCTAGGTTGTGGTCTCAAGAAATCAGATCTTGGGGAGACTGCCATATGTCATGGCTGGCCTCCCATAAGGTTGATGCTAATTTAGCCTGAGGTGGTCTGTCTCAAAGCCCACCAAATTGAGCACAAATTTCCACTGGGGACTTTGGCTCTTGATCTTAAGCTTGTGGGTCATTTCTGGCCAAGAAAAGCCCTTCAAATCAATGCTTCAACGTTCAAGTTGAAATTTAGTCATTTTGGCTGCTGCCCTTTAATCTTCCCCTAGCATGAATGTAGTCCAAGGAATATAAAAGCTCTGGTTGTTATAAAACCATGGTTATTTTCATGTCCTTGGAACAACAGGTCTCCACAATTATGTTCCAAAATTCCAGTTATTTTTACTGTCATTTAAAAAATATTACACAATTCTAGCTCTACAGTTTTTCAACAATACTGATTCTCAGATTTTTTATTTTTAATAAATTAATTTTGATTGCTTTATGTTCTCCAAATTTACTGATTTTATGATGTCTGTTTTTATATTCTTTTCTATCCTTTAACACTGTTTAGTGTTTGCTTTGTTTTAAGACTTCCAAGAGATTTCCTGTAGTTCTCTACAGATTCTCTATAGCAACCTACTTAGAACTTTTTAATTTGGCTGTTGTTTAGACCATTAGGCATTATTGTATCCTCTGACTACTTCAAGATTATTATTACATTATCTTAATAATCATGAGTTCTAAGATGTAAAGGATTAACAAAACCTCTTGCAGATCATAAAACAAGTTTTAAAGTTACATATCTGTCTGGTTAACACATACTATCTACTTAGTCATTAATGTAGTTCCTTTGGGTAAAGGGTAACATTAAAAAAAATACGGGAGCCAGTAATGTATTTGTTTCTTTTATATATTTTTTTTTCACATATACATGAATATTTTTTAAAATTGACATTTAAAAATTTTAATTATATTGCAGTTAAATCACTAAACAGTTTTGAAGTTATTTTTTCTTTTAAAATTGTATTGTTTAAATGTCTCAGGAATTATTCATTAATAAATAATTTCATATGAATTTTATAGATTTTACTATATAAATAGGTTATTGCTTTGTTTTGGGAAGCCTTATTATTTGACCTGCTGATTAACAACTGTATCTACTTAGAGCATCTTCCATTTTTCCCTTCAGCACAATTGGTAGGTCACTATTTATACTATCCCAATTTCTTGAATTTTCAAGACAGGCAAAACACCTTTTGTGATCTTAGTTGCTATAAGGATAGACAGACTCTGAAAGTAATTGCTCAGTAGTGCTTTTTACTCTAAAATTAGAACTATTTTTCTTTGAAACAGACTCAAAGTCAGTTTAGATGAGTTTATGAAAGGTGTTCCTTGCAATTAATTATCAAGAAATTTTAATCCATTAGTGGGGTTTTTTTTGTTTTGTTTTACCAGATAACCACTCTTGGTATATTTCCATTCAGTATTTTCTATGAATAGTTTTCATATACAAATTTCTCTCTCTTTTCAACTTAACATTATAACTTGAACATTTATTCTTAACAGTCAACAATTTGGTAATATCTTTTTAAAAATCGGGTGTTATTACATATACCAGTTGTAGACCATTTAGCTTATTTTCTGTTTTTCAAAATTATAAGTTATGCTGAGATAAACATTCTTTTATGTGTGTCTTTGCTGGCTTAGCTGATTGTTTTTATAGGAAAGAATCTTAGAAATAGAATAACTAATTCTAAAGGATCCAAACTCTTAATACATTATTTAAGTTTTCATTTTGATTTCTACAACTGTTTGAATGTAACTTCATAAAAGAGCTCTAGAAAAGCAAATTGCCTGGAAGAATTTACTTCCAGTTTTAAAACGTTTGAGACCTAGACTGTTTAACATTTGCTTTAAGCAAGCACAGAAATCTTTTTTATTTTTTGCTGAAATATTTTTGTTTTAATATTTTATTGTTTATGCTACTATAGTTGTCCAACATTTCCCCCCCTTCATCCCTTCCTCCACCCAGCCTGCCTTCCACTTCCATAGTCAGTTCCCACACTGTTGTTCATGTCCATGGGTCCTTCATATGATATTCTTTTAAGAAACATTCACAGGTATTTAGGGAATAAAGGGCTATTTTGTCTGTAACTTACTTTCAAATGGCTCAAAAAATAATAGTAAATAGACACATACTGATATGAAGAGAGAAAGAATGATTAAGTAAATGTGGGAAAATGTTAACTATTAGGAAACATGGGTGAAGGGAATACAGGAGTTCTTGGTACTATTCTTGCAACTTTCCTATAAATCTGAAATTACTTCAAAACAAAAAATTATAAAAAGGAGCTCAACCCATACATTTTAAACTTCCAAATTAATTGCTACTGTAAATTAATGATTTTCAAAAGCTCTGAAAGTGGCTTATAGGTGGATGGTGATATACTATTCTTTATTTACTTATCTGTTTCTAGGAAAAATTTGTCATTCACTTTTCCGCACAATTTTTTAAAATATTTTAAAATTTTGCCCAGAAGCATCTTTCCATTGTTAAAATAAGTTCCTTTTTTACTTATAGGTATTTGTTTTACCTTGGTTATAGTTCAGAAATAGGATAAATAACATTCTTTATATAACAGTATAGGAGTACTGCTTTGTATTTTTCCATAGAACATTATTTTATAGTATGATCAAGCTCATTGTCTTGTTCAGACTTAAAGTTCTGTCACTTATAACTTTTTTAAAAATTGGTTTAAATTAAACACTTAAGATGCTTAGTATAAAACTTGCTTATTGTAGACAGTTGGTGGAATTTTAATTTGGTGCTAATAAGTTTTAGCTTGAGTCTGATCTGATCAGGTTATTCTAAATAGTTTATTTACCTGATCAGAAATTGCTATTTCATGCATGTGTGCTTTTGGTTATGCCTGAATAAAAAGTGAGATTGGGTCAGTTTGAGTCCATCACCATTCTTAGAAACAGTGACTCCTAAACCACAGAGACACGGATGCTTACCCTATTTTGTCACATTTTGGTAAAATACTTCACCTCTTTGGGCCTCGTTTATTTATTCGTGACTCTTTCTTGAGCATCTACTTTGTGCCTGGCTCTGTTGTAGGTGCTAGAGAAATGAACTAAATTCTCTGTCCTCATGGGACTTATGTTTTAGTGGAAAGGTAGATAATAAAAAATAATTAAAAGTATAATATATTCGGTGGTGGGCAATACTATGGAGAAAAATGAAGTTAAGGAGGGGGGATAAAAATACAGATTGAGAGTTTTTATGCTGCCATTTAAAATTTGGTGGTCAGGGAAGGCCTCATGAGATGAAATTTGGGTAATGACCTGGAGGAAGAACTGCAAAGAGACTTGGTTTGGGTGCCATTGATTGAACAAGAGGGAAACTAGTAGGAGACGGGGCCTGCAAAGTAATGTGGGTGATGTAGGATCTTATAAATCATTTTAAGCCATTTGGCTTTTAATATGAGATAAGAAACCATTAGAGCATTTTGAGTAGAGGAGTGTTTTGTACCTCAGTAAAATTCACAATCAACAATAAAACCTTAAATATAGAAAAGTGTTTATATTACTACTCTAGCTGCTGTCTTGACGATTTAACTGTAGAAGAACAAGGGCAGAATCAAGGAGCTCCCTTCATTTTTCGGACTGTAAGACACACTCCCCTGCCCAATTTGGGAGGAAAATGGGGGTGCCTCTTATAGTCCGAATGTAGTTTACTTGGCTCGCTGTTGCGGGGAGTAGGGGGAGGGTGGCCTATGTTATTTATGTTATTAAATGTTTTACCACATTTTTTGCTTCAGAAATATTTTTCCGATTTTCCTCTAAAACCTAGGTGCATCTTATGGTCCGGTGCGTCTTACAGTTAGAAAAATTCGGTAATTAGGGACAGACACTGTTATAATAATCCAGGAAGGAGATGATGGGTCCTCAAGCTAAGGTGCTAGCACTGTAGATTATATGAGGTTTGACTTTGGATATATTTTGAATTCATTGATGATTTGGATGTGAAGTGTGAAAGTATTAAGAATGATTCCACAGTTACTGGTCTGAACAACTGGAAAGATGGCATTGATATTAACCAAAATAGGAAAGACTTGGGAGGAGTAGATTAGGGAGGGAAGATGAGGACTTTGATTTTGCAACAAGTTTTAGTTTGAGATACTTATTAAAAATTCAAGTGGAGATGTCATTGTCATTAACCTCTTTGAATTTACGGGAGTATTCTAGGCTGTAAATAAAATTTTAAATTTTAAATTGTCATTGGAATGAATGCGGATAAGGCTG